GGTTAGGATAGCATGCCTACTTTATGTAGTAATATTAGGTTTCTACATAATAATGTTAGTATATGTGTATCAGTAAGAGCGCAATGGGGGCCCTTCTTTAACTCTTGCACAAGGGCCCTGTGAATCCGAGTTACATCCATGCAGGGGTGTTCAGTTTTTTCACATTTATTTCTACATTGGAATCCATTCTTCATATGGTTGACTCTAATCCACTCATTAGATGTTTGTTTGTTAAACAGAAGTAACAGAAGGATGTCACATAGGTGGAAGAGCCTCTAGTTTTTATAACCTACTTGTATGTCACATTACGTAAATTTCTACAAGAATAAGAGATGTATAAAGAATATTCAAAGTAAAGAAATATCCTGCTCAAAATTAGACAAAACAAATGCCGTATATAACTAGATTTAAGGGTAGTGCATTAGACGTATTGCTTTTTTCTTAAAGGACCACTATAGTCAGAGAAACGGCTATGTTTACATTGTAGGGTTACTCCAGCCTCTAGTGGCTGTCTTCCTGACCACGCAGAAAAATCGCATTGAGCACGCAGAACGTCCATAGGAAAGCATTGAGAAATGGAGTCAAACTCAGTGAAACTTCAGGAAGCACAGCTAGTGGGTGTCTGGTAGACAGCCACTAGAGGCAGCCTTAGTACTGTGTCCTCCTTAGTGCACCAGACAAGTCCCAGGTATCAGAATCCGGTACAGTGGCATCAATTATTTACAAATAAAGCAATGCAATTTTAAAAAAAAGTTAAAAGTGGAAGAGCTGTGAGTCACTCTTGGCACCCTACTAAAAATTAGGGGGTATTTTAGGACCTTGCTCATTTTTACAATATGTAGCTTTTTAAGGCTGCTTTACCTGGTCTGTTTAGGTTTTTTTTTTGCTGCCTCTATTTCCGCAGAAATTTGGTTTCGTCCAAAACAGCTCAGCTACAAATATAACTTACTTAAAATCTTAATTTTTTTTTAGCCTACAATTTGCAGTTCCCTGGTGAATAAATTGCAATTCATGACTTTATACTGTTTTCAAGATTCCGTCTGTTGTCCAGCATCTGAATAGTTTCCTTTCCTCGAAAGGAACGGAAACAATTTTTCAGTACTTATGGAATATGCAATAATTAATTGGTTTCCTTAGTTCCATCAGTCCAAAAAGTAAGACGTAATTGCACGTTCTCTTCGTAGCTGCAAAATTGATGCAAATTAAAAAATAAAACAATGGCTTTGACTACAACCACCAGTTTGTTTTCTTCTCGTGAGGCTATATTTTCACGCCATAATCCAATTTAATAGCTTGTGTAAACAGGCAAATCCTCTTGAAAAAAATAGCCTCCAGTCAGCTCAAAACCACTCCATGGTAAGCCCTTGTCACGTAACACTGTGACCTATTCAGTAGTTGGCGTGTGGTTTGTCCAGCATGAAATGTTTTGTTTTGAAAATTCTATGGCTAGTTGAAACTGTTGTAAGGTTCTAAAAAAAAATGTTCATGGTTCTAAAAAAAAATGCCATTGAATTCCCAGGACCATAACCAGAAGTGCCCAGGCAATGGTCTCTCATTTCTTCCGTTTGTGCAGGGAGACGAGGAAGGAAATACTGGATGGTTGTAATTAGCCAAACCAAAAAGGTGGGCCCGGTGGAACACACCACCAAAACGTCTACTTAGTGGAGCGCTACAAATTAATACACTTACCCCACTAGAATCGGGATAAAGCCGCCGGGCGAAATGCGAAGAAGGACCACCCAAGACTGTGGACTGGTATCACTAGCACTTTGATATATTTTTTGTTTTTTATAATAAAGTGTACTTTAATTGTGACTCCAAGTCCTGTGGATCCTTACTGTTTCCTTCTCTTGCTATACAAGAAGGGCAGTGCTCCCCTTAAAGGCACATACACTATAACACCGAGAGCCTAGTATAAATGGCTCCACCAAAGGTGAGCAATTACTTGCACCTGCACTTTGGTCTTATATTCTACCTCAGCAATTTGGCACTAGGATATTCTGTCTCTTTTTTGTCTCCACATTGAGGACAATTGGGTCCAGAATCCAGAGAGGGTTTGGTATTTCCTAATATGCATCCACCCATGAGATCTGAGCCTATCCTTATGGGGCTCTATATCATGTGAGTGTGGTCCATATCCCTTCACATATCACTCTGGTGGACTCGATATACTTCACTATTTTTGCATTGTTTTCTATTTTCTAGAGAATTTTATCATTATACACCTCCCCCAGATTCTAGTGAGGTAAGTGTAGTGCTCCTCTAAGTAGATGTTTTGTTGGTGTGTTCCACCGGGCTTACTTTTTTGGTTTGACTATTTATGTGTAATTTACGGGTATTTACACAAGTGTTGAGCTGCTATATACACATTTATTTGCCTTATTAAAATCAAGAAGCACCCTATATTGCACAGAGCACTTTTTCCAGGTTGTAATTATCCCCTATCCCAAGAGACGGGGCTAAGAGATGCTTAAAGGGATGCTGTATTCCTGGCACTATCGCTGCCTCCTGCCTCTCCTTTAAATAAAGGGTTATTTACTGACCCTATCCCAGTGCCGATGTCCCTCGGCGCTAGGTCGATGCTCCGTCCCGTGATGAGTGAGGTTTAATGCGAATGTACACAAATGCTGCGCGCTCATTAGAACTACCCATTGGAAATCATTGAATCAATGCTTTCCTATGGGCAAAAATCTGACGCTGGAGGTCCTGCAGAGTGCTAGGACGTCCAGCGTCAGATACCGGACCAAAGGTCCATTTCAATTCAGGAAGCCCTCTAGTGGCTCTCTGGTAAACAGCCACTGTATCCAGACGTAGAGCTGCAATGTAAACATTCTATGGAACTGCAATGCTTTGCATTGCAGAACTAAGTGCAAAAGTAGCACTGCACCCAGACTGCTTCAATGAGCTGAAGTGGTCTGGGTGCCTACAGTGTCCCAGACCAGTGAATGGCTAGTCCCTATTAGTGTAGCGCCAGAGGAAGCCAAGGTGAAGGGCAATGCTGGTGTCACTGATCACACATGTTTTTTTTGTGTGTGTGTGTGTGTGTGTGTTGTTTATTGAGGCTTAGGAAGTGGTTGTTGCCTTAAATAGTGACAGTATTTCCCCGTCGCAGCTTTAGACAGTATTTCCCCTGTCAATCGGCTTCAGTTTGGAGTTGAATGAATACACCAAGTTATTTTTTATTTAATGTTTTCCTTGGTATTGCACTAATCTAGCTTATACACCACAATAAACACACGCTGAAAATCATAATTTATGCACAAGTGTCAACCTGTGGACATCTTTCTAACTTGCATGTTACTCATTTTAGGAGATATACTGCTTTTACGTCAGCTAGTAAATTGAGATCAGTGGAGAGTCTTTAAAAAAAAGAGCCCTTTTGCAGCCGGAATTCTCTTAATAAATAACCCCTGAAACCCGTCACATACAGCCATGGAAAATAACCAGTTTTTTAATCCACAATAAGGAAAAAAATGTATTTGTTGTTATGTACAACAATCCAACATTTACACAAACTAAAAAAAATGCTGCACAATTTATTTTTTTAATTGTCATTTTTTTAATGTTTTGCTTTAACATCCCCCTCCAGCACCCAAATGGTTAAAAACTCCCACCACCTGCAAATTATGTATAGAAGCTACACCCCCCCAGCATCCCCCCCCTTTCGCCTCCATGCTGCCTATATGCTTAAAGTTGCACGTTTCTATCTATGTCACGTGAGATGACATGTAGCTAACATTAACCCTTCAGTGTCAGGATTGAAATTTTCTTTTTTCTTTTAACTTCCTACTTCTCTTTCGGCGCTGAAAGTGTTATTATAGTCGAGTAAAACGTGAACTTAACACCTGAAATGCAACATGGAATATAATTTCTAAACCGTTGCAATGTCCCAGTGTGGTTTAATGAATATTATGCAAAAATTTTACAGTTTAAGGGCACGGCTCTTAGTAGCTGCAATTTAGTTGTTTTCGATGTCAAAATAAGTTGTGTAATATCCTTCAGAAATTGTTAGTATTATCTGCCGCCCATCTTAACAATGTATCAAACAGCTGTCCTTTACGGCAGTACGTCACATTAATTGTTATTATGTCTGAAAAGATCTAGCAAGCTTTCACTCTGCTTAATGAGTTAATAGCATTATCTCCCCTGCTCAGTTTGGGGGGTAATCCACTAAAGGGGAAATTGTGGCGAATTAAAAGTGGATTTTAAAATTTGAAGACATAATAACCAAATAATAAAAAAAAAAAAACTAAAACCTTTTGTTTCTGGTTTGCATTCACACAGTTTAATAAAGTTACTCTTGTTTTTTATTTTTATGTTTTTTATGTATTTTCTATGCACTAATACTTTCTAACTTTCATTATTTTCAGATCTGAAGAATCCGCAAGAGCGTGCACTATTTATGATTTAATTTTGCTTGTGGCGGCGGCACTGAGTATGCATCTGTTTGCATGATTCACAGAGAATAGGGATTAAAGCTCAAGGTTCTATTAGAACAGTTCTAGGTGCACACGGAATGTTGGATTCTGATAGGACTGCAATGCAGAGTGGGGTTTTCTAGAATCCTGCGTTAATGCCAATGCATCCAAGTGCCGTATTACAATGACTTTCAAGGTGCAGAGAGAGATCAAGGGCTGCTGATGGACACAAGGGAGGTTGTCCTCTCCTTTAATATATGCCCACGCCATCCCTTCTGCCTATCCTATTCCTCTCATGGACTTCCCAAAATAGCAACCACGTGAAAACTGCTCCTTATGTCACTGACAGAACACTACGCAGCAATGGGGATTTATTCATCTGGCTGAATGGATTGAATAGGAGGGAATAAGGAAGGTGGGGGGAGAAAGAAAATCACATAGAGGAGGGGGGTAGAGGCTTGGGGAGGAACAAAGGCATTCATAGGCAGTGACATGTGCTGGCTGTACAAGGCAGAGAGTAGAGAAAGAGAGGGTTGGATGTAGCAGAGCCACTGATAGGTGCAAGCGAAAAAGGGGGGGAGTGAAGAAGAGTCATAGGGTGGAGAGCTTCTGTGACTTCATACAGTCTTTGCTTCTTAAGACTCAGGGTGAAGAAGACTTGGCCAGATTCTAGACAGTTACTCGCAGCATTGCTGGGATTTAGGCAGATGAGCAGTGTCTGATTTGTCCTGCACACTCACCTGCATTGCAAGGGGCTTTGGTGGCACACCAATCCCCCAAAATTTTGTTGTACTTCGTCATCATTAGTGGTAACCGATGAGATTCTTTCGGCTAACCTTTAAGTGCTTTGTGGACGGCTTCTGACTTTCCTCTCACATCTATTAGCCCTAAATTTGCAGTCTTTTTCGTGGGTTAATTTTTTTTATATTTAATTTTTTTATATATATATATTTACGTGTGCGTGTATATATAAATATATATATATATAAATATATACATACATATATGTACATATATAAATAATTCTTCACAAATCTTAATTGCCAAACTGATTTTTTTTAAATTTGTTGTATTTTTATCAGATTTTTTTTTTTTTTTAATATATATATATATTTTTTTATTGATATTATTATTTATTACTTGGGAGGGCTATATCTTAAGCTGAGGAAGCCGGCCAAATTAACAGGACATTGATAAGGAAAGAGGAAAATCCAGGTGGGTGCGTTGGACTTTTTTTTTTTTTGTGAAACTTATCTGGAAGGGAAACATTTTCTTGTTTAGAATGGATAAAAGGAGCTTGTCCTTGGAAAACGGCAGCTATAAAGTTACAGTGGATGAAAAAAATGGACAGTTGATACCGAACGGGAAGGGACACGAAGCAGATCTGTGCTGTAATGGATCAACCAAAGGAGGCATCGTTTTCAACCCCAATGGCAGGGAAGGTGTCCCTGAGAGAGAGACTTGGACTCGGCAGATGGATTTTATCATGTCCTGCGTGGGGTTTGCAGTTGGACTTGGAAACGTTTGGCGATTTCCATACCTGTGCTACAAGAATGGAGGAGGTGAGATTTACTTAAAAAAAAGTATAATTTAATAACAAATTAGAAAATAATTACCCGTCACTCACAGTTTGTGACTTGCATGCATTGATTTTTATGATCGAGACGTATATGTATGTGTGGGTGTGTATACATATATTTGCATATACATTTTGTATACCTATATACATTTATTTGTGAGTGTATTGTTTTTTTGGATTTCAGTTCCGTAAATTTCTCAGTATGAAGCACCTTTGCCTAGAGGCAGTGCCTTGCATGTAATACCTTTTCATTCATTTCCAATATTAGTGCAATTCATCCTTTGCTTTCGTTCTTTCGAACCGCTTGTGCTAAAAATATTAGACTTTATAAAGGCACGGAGTTAGTCTTTGCCGTTTCGAATTGTGATTGGATGCGTTGATTGCTGTGTCTAGGATGTCACTCGATCCTTTGACCTTTCAGTGTTACAGAGATGTGCATTACAGTACTTAAGCCCTCTGATACTGAAAAGGTGAATGGGATGTAGATTTAAAGAGCACACTTAGTTTCAGGATGGGCGTGGGCACACTATGGCTTAATCAAGTGGTAACGCCTGGGTGGCTCAGCAAATCCATGTAATGACGTCACTGGACTTTGGTGCAGAAGACCTGCAGTACCCGGGCATCAACCATGCTAAGGTTAAATTTAGGAACACGCTGCTTATTAATAAAGGCTATTACTATGCCACGAAACTCAGTTATATGCCTCATCACTCACCTGGCATACAGGGACTGTTACAGGTAAGTAGGCTCCCGTGCAAGACAAAGTACTATTTTTCATAATAAGAAAAAGGCATTTTTTTTAGGAAAAATTCTACATCATTCTTAAATTTAGCATATTCACTGTTCTCCTTCATAGGCATGCGCAGCACGCTACATTAGACTGAGTACCAAGAGAACACTACCATCTAAACTTTACTTAAAAATGATAACTTTGAAAAGTAGCTGAAAAATAAAATTTTACGCAAGATACAGAGATAGTCTAAATTTGTCAAGTACAGAAGCAAAGAAAAGTACCTATTGTGACCAAAATAGGCCAAAGGAAGGGCAATAAGGCCCTAAATTAGGGTGTGAATAATATGTATTATCATTTTGATACCCTATTTTGTTGGTATTTTTGTTTTGTTCTCTAAACCCAACCACTAAATGGACAAAATAAAATTCTCTGCAGTCAGATCTCGGAATGCAAGAAACACAGTTATAGTTTAATAGCTTCCGCCTAAGTGATTCTGACTGTTAAATCTAAGTAGGACAAACTGCATTATCTCTCTACAAAGATCAACTGTAATAACATATGGTAGTTACAAATTTTAACACCATGAATGGCTCAGCATCATTGTAGTGAAAACATAGACGTAATTTAAAACCATAGAAAACTCTTCCATTGTCCTCTTAATGCTAGCACGTTTTCTTATTTTGTTTGTAATGCCTACTCTCTTATTTATAGCATAGTATGGTAAGTGATAAATGTAAGTGACCACGCCAGGTTTTAAACCCTCGTGGCACAAAAACATTTTTTTGGGGAGGAATTTATTATTTAGGCCAGAGGTGCCCAAAAGGTAGATCTTTAGATGTTGTAGAACTACATCTCCCATGATGCTTTGCATGCCTTTAGAATGACAAAGTATCATGGAAGTTGTAGTTTTAAAACATCTAGGTATCTACCTTTTGGGCACCCCTAAATTATGTGTTCTGCTGCAAAAAGTAGTGCAACATTTGAACAGGCACTAAAGGCACTTCCTGTGGCTAGGAGACTTTTGGTGACCTAACTGACGCTGGACGTCCTCACGCTCTTCATGAGGTCATTCAGTATCGGTAAAATTAATGCTTTGCTATGGGGAGGGCCTAATGCGCTTGCGGCACTCGCAATGCATGCGCATTAACCCCCCTGTCGGTTGACGTCAGAGGTGGCAGAACATTGCTGGAATTGGGTAATTAACCCTATCCATGCTGAGTGGAGGGTGGGGTGCAAGGAAGGGGAGTGTGGGGGGGGAGGGGGGTGAGGGGGTTCTGGCTGATTGAACTATAGTGTAAGGAATGCAACTTTGTATTTCTTACTCTATAAAATCCCTTTAATGATGGGTTTTCAACTAATGTTCCTTGACAGGTTATCAAATGCCCACAGAGTGGTCATCAAATTGTGTATATCAATAAGCAAGACTTCAAACTGTGTACTCTGCATAGAAATCTTGCTAATAAAGTTATTGAAAGAGACACTGGATGCGCCCTAACTGCTACAGCTTTATGTGGTGGATATGGTGCTAGGAGTATTCACGGCTGCTTCTGTTATTCATGTATTAGTAAGGACCAGTGGCGTCACAAGGGGAGTGCGGACCACACCAGGGCGTGCATCACGGGTGTGGGGGAGGGTGACATCACCGACACCAACAGGGCCGGCGCGTCCATAAGGCGGCACAAGCGGCTGCCTTAGGGCGCACCGGCCCAGGGGGTGCTAAATTGGAGTAACCGGCAGGAGATGGGCGCGCAGCACTCCCTCCAGCCAGTCACTCAGTCAGTGTAGCGTGGCCGAGCAGAGGAGACCTCTGTACAGGAACTTCTGTTTCCTGTATCTGGCCGACTGAAAGGAAGTGCTCACTGAAAGAGCACTTCCTGTCAGTCCGGACGGGCACAGGAAACTGAAACTCCTGTACCGCGGTCTGCTCCGCATGACCACGCTACAAGAAAGGTAGGAGACACACCGGGGACGTGGGGAAGAAACACTACGGGACAGGTAAGAAAAAACAGTATGGGACAGGGGAGGGGGGAGAAAGAACACTATGGGACAAGAGGGGGGAGAAAGAATACTATGGGACAGTGGAGGGAGATAAAGAACACTATGGGACAGGGGAGGGGGACATTAAGGGGGGCACTAAGGTACAGTGGAGGGAAGGGAAAAGGAACACAGGTAGGGGGGGACCACTAAAAGAGAAGGGAGAGGAACACTAGGAGGGGAGGGAGAAACATTAATGGGAATGGGGGACACTAAGAGACAGACAGGTAAGCGGGGGGAGAGAGTAACACTAAGGGACAAGGGAGGGAGGGGAGAGGAACACTAAGGGACATATAGGGGGTTCGGGTGACACCATGAGTTACTACACCGGGTGACACCAATCCTAGTTATGCCACTGGTAAGGACACTGTAAGGAAAGTTTACCAGTGTATATATGCTTTAGAATTCACTATATTTTAGTGTAATTTCACTCCAAATTCCTGGCTGCTCTCATTTTAACAGATACATTCACTAAAGGGCAAATTCATGGTGAATTCAAAGTGGATTTCGAATTGAAAGGCATAATAGTCAAACTGGAAAGATTCTCTCTGTCAGCTATGCTATTACTTCAGCTACCCTGGCCTTAAGTTTCCCGTTTGGCTATTTTAACCTTGAATTTGAAATTCAAACCCCAAAAGGGTTGTTCACTAAATTGAGAACGCAACGTGAATTTGAATAACCATTTTGGCGTCAAATGTGAAATTCACTTCAAATGGACTTTTATCTTCTTCACATACTGCGCAACATTGAGGGTTTGGATTCGGGACACAGGTTGGCAGGCGGGGGGGAGGGGGGGGAAATGGACAGTGTTAGCATGTGTCTTGGAGAATTTAGTAGAATCTGATTTTAGCAAGGGTTTCACAGAGTTACAGGTTTGTTCACTAATATTGTAAAGCGCTACAGAATCTGTTGGCGCTATATAAATGGCAATAATAATAATATTAATAATAAAGTGAGGATTCAAGTGAAATCACAGCGAATATCAAATTTTAGGTCTTGATTTTAGGTCTTGATAGCCAAGCTGGAAGGACAATTTGGCTATTGTGCCTTCAGAGGAAACTATAGTGCCTGAAAACAAACTCGTATGGCTTCCCCCTCTGTCAAGGCCTCTTCCCCCCCTCCCGGGGCTATAGTGCCAGGCACTTACCTGGGTCTTTCCTGTGTCGACGCTGGCTGAGCTCCACCCATGCTCCTGGCGAGGGAGACCTAATGCGCATGCGTGGCAATGGCCGTGCTCGCATTATGATTTCACATTATTCAATGCTTTCCTATGGGGATTCCGGTGACGCTGGAAGTCCTCATGCATAGAGTGCAGGGCCGTCTTTAATGCGGGGCAAACGGGGCAGCTGCCCCGGGCCCAGTTTCTCTTGGGGGGCCCGAGGCACCTGCCCCGTGGGCCCCGCTGACCCCGGCGGGCGGGTGGCCGGTCGGGCAGGAAGGCGGGCGCGCGAGGGAGCACTCACTGCTTCCTCTTCAGCTCCCTCGCGCCGCACTGATGCGGAGTCGGAAGATGACGTCATCTTCCGGCGCCGGCATTCAGCGCGAGGAAGCTGAAGCACTGAGTGCCTCCCTGCACTCCTACCGGCCCCACCCTAAGGAGCCCAGCAGCACCACTGGACCCCAGGGAATCCCCCCAGCACTCCAAAAGGTAAGGAGGCTGGTGGGATTACATTTAAAAAAAAAAATGTATGTTTGTGTGTATGTGTTTGTATGTGTTTATGTGTATGTGTGTGTTAGTGTATGTGTTTGTGTGTTAGTGTATGTGTGTGTTAGTGTATGTGTGTTAGTGTATGTGTGTGTTAGTGTATGTGTGTGATAGTGTGTGTGTTTGTGTATGTGTGTGTTTGTGTATGTGTGTGTTAGTGTTGGTGTGTGTGTATGTGTGTTAGTGTATGTGTGTTAGTGTTAGTATGTGTGTTAGTGTGTATGTGTGTTTGTGTATGTGTGTTAGTGTGTATGTGTGTTAGTGTGTGTGTGTGTTAGTGTATGTGTTTGTGTGTTAGTGTATGTGTGTGTGTGTCAGCATGTCTGTGTGTGTCAGCATGCCTGTGTGTGTCAGTATGTCTGTGTGTGTGTCAGTATATATGTGTGTGTATATCTGTGTGTGTCAGTATGTGTATGTGTCAGTATGTCTGTTAGTGCATGTGTATGCATGTGTCAGTATATCTGTCTGTGTGCCAGTATGTCTGTGTGTGTGTGTGTGTCAGTATATCAGTCTGTGTGTGTCAGTGTATGTGACTGTGTGTGTGTGTGTCAGTATTTCTCAGTGTATGTGGGTGTCAGTATATCTGTCAGTGTGTGGGTGTCAGTATTTCTGTCAGTGTATGTGTGTCAATATGTTGATCAGTGTATGTGTCTGTGTGTGTGTGTCAGTATGTCGGTATATGTGTCTGTGTGTCAGTATGTCTGTATATGTGCCTGTGTCAGTATGTCTGTCGGTACGTCTACCAGTGTATGTGTCTGTGTGTGTGTCAATATATGTACCTGTGTCAGTGTGTCTGTCAGTGTATGTGCCTGTTTATCTGTATGTAGTCAGTGTATGTATCTGTGTATCTGCTTGTGCGTCAGAGTGTGTACCTGTGCATCTGAGCCGCAACTTTAAATACAAATACACCCCTCCATTCAAACTTCAACACTACATATAAAACACACTCCTGCATTGAAACGTCAACACTATATACAAGCACACTCCTACATTCAAAAACAAACACTACACATAAATGCACACTTGCATTCAAACTCCAGTACCACATACAAACACATTCACACAAACATACTCCATACAAACCCATGCTTACATTCAAACATACTAACATGGCTCAGTGCTAAATACAACCCTGCAAGCATGGGAAATTGGTAGAGTCCCAGCTGTCAAAGCATTGTTGGAGTTGCACGACAGATGGGGTTCTACCTTTAGTCCAACCTTGCAATTGGGGGTCCCAATAAAATTCATTCTACTTTAGTACCGCCACTGCGTTGGGATGAATGCCGTGATTGCATACCAGGGAGTGAGGGGCGAGAGCGGCAGGGCACAGGGGGCCCAAGCAAACACTTGCCCAGGGTCCATTCGTTATTAAAGACGGCCCTGATAGAGTGAGGACGTCCAGCGTCGTTTAGGCAACCAAAAGTCACATTCAAGCCATCTAACAGCTGTCTGGTAGACAACCACTAGAGGAGGAGTTAACCCTAGCAGGTATTTATTGCCGTTTATAAAATCTGCAATAATTACACTAGCAGGGTTAAGGGTGATGGGAGTTGGCACCCAGACCACTACAATGAGCTGAAGTGGTCTGGGTGCTCACAGTGTCTCTTTAAAACTGAAATTCACTTTGAATTCTCGCTTTAGTGAATAACCCTGACAATCTCTTATCAAGATAATTTTATTATGCAAATTAAATAAATGGCTAAACAGAGCTAAATCAGGAGTCTGATTATTTAACAGGATCTTAAATGGCAGCATCTATACGGCACAGCTCGGTAATCAAAATCAATTTCACCAACATCACTTATTGTGTTGGGGGTGAAATTGTGGATTGTGTAGAAATCGAATCATAGAATAGCACAAATAGCCATTTATATGCGGGCAAACTGAGCAAAAAACCCCAGATATTTACAGCTCTTATCTCTGTAGCAGGACAGGACAGGGCAAGCACAGTAATTCATTGTCAAATGTTTAAATAACAGAACACTATAGAACACAACCATGGCAATGGAAAAACAAACACAACTGATGTGTGACTTCTTTGTAAATGCCTATGCAGTATCAAGACAGAAACTGAAAATCACTCTATAGATGATAACATTCCATGACATGCGCATAGTGGTCTCTTGGCATACGCCATAAATTATACCTGAACATATGCCCTTCCCAGAAAGACACGGACACTAAATTAAAGTGGGTAAATGTCACGGCTTTAATAAATTATAAATATATATTTAACACAATGGGTCATTGTCAGACCTAACTCTGTACATATCCAATTAAATACATCCAAACATCCAAAATCACTATACCCACTGACAATGACCCATGACATAATTTAACAATAATTAAATGACCGTATTATAATGACATAACACAACACACATAGCCACAACAGGCAACACCTACACCACCTACACCACCAGGTTGAAAGCCACCAACGGGCTCCAACCTACCAAATACCAAAACCCATGACATAATTTAACAATAATTAAATGACCGTATTATAATGACATAACACAACACACATAGCCACAACAGGCAACACCTACAACACCTACACCACCAGGTTGAAAGCCACCAACGGGCTCCAACCTACCAAATACCAAATCCAGTGAATATTGGTATCAAAATTCCAAGATTCTACCGACCCCCAATATTTCTCCATCCCCCGCCGCTATGACTAGCGTAGACCGAAAGTGACAAACCCATGCAAAACCACTGAAAAGGGAAGGAGGGTGGTACAACAACAAGTAGGTCGGAATTAGTTAAAATGGACCCTACACTAAAATGGCCGTTATTAATATCCATATAGGCCCCTAACCCTCACCCTATCAAAATCAAATCAAATCCTATCCCCATGTATGCCTGCATCCTAGCTATGTCAAGGCCAATTCCCTTAGTTTCACTGTTTCATGGGCTACAAACTACAAGTCCTTTGAGTAATCACCAGTGGGATATCTCCCAATCTGCAAATGGCAACATGCACACAGTCCCTTACTTTGTTTTATAGATAGCATTATTATCTAGGTAAGACTTGCAATATTATGTTTTATTCACTAAAGACCAAATTCTAATGAATTAAAAATTGAATTGCAAAATTCAGGCTAAAATAGCAACAACAAAAAACAAAACCTTTTCCAAATCAAATATTTTGGACTCAATTTTGCAGTTTGGTGTGCAGCTCAGTGTTCAGATTCCAAGTGTCGTTGTTTCCAGTAAGACAATAGAGACATGTAACATTACCCTTTTGCTTGTCACTGTGAAATGTGACAGTTCTGCTGTTTTCAATACAGAGATGTGTGTGTATAAACACATGGAAAATACCAGGGTATGTGAGGACGGTTTGTGAATTATAGAAGATAAATGAAGACATGTCAAAGAGAAACAGGAAGGTAATGTGAGTTTATTGTTACATGTAGGATTCTGTCAAATAATGAGAAACGAGGGAGGGGAGGATATCTTTCACTATCTCTCTATCTCTCTATCACTCTATCCCTCTATCCATTATAACAGAGCTCCACATCAATAATACTCACAGTAATTTGTCTTTAACCCCTTAAGGACCAAACGTCTGGAATAAAAGGGAATCATGACATGTCACACGTCATGTGTCCTTAAGGGGTTAAAGGACCACTGCTATGTTTATTTTAAAAAAAGGGTTAATCCTATCTGGACCTGGCACCCAGACCACTTCATAAATGAAGTGGTCTGGGTGCCAGGTCCAGATAGGATTAACCCTTTTTTTTTATAAACATAGCAGTTTCAGAGAAACTGCTATGTTTACACTGAGGGTTAATCCAGCCTCTAAAGCCTCTAGTGGCTGTCTCATTGACAGCCGCTAGAGGTGCTTTCCTGCTTCTCACTGTGAAAATCACAGTGAGAAGACGCCAGCGTCCATAGGAAAGCATTATTAATGCTTTCTTATGAGACTGGCTGAATGCGCGCGTGGCTCCTGCCGCGCATGTGCATTGAGCCGATGACGTTGCTAGGAAGAAGGAGAGGAGGAGGAGAGCTCCCCGCCCGGCGCTGGAAAAAGGTAAGTGTTTAACCTCTTCCTCTCCCCAGAGACCGGCGGGAGGAGGACCCTGAGGGTGGGGGCACCCTCAGGGCACTATAGTGCCAGGAAAACGAGTATGTTTTCCTGGCACTATAGTGGTCCTTTAAAGGGACACTGTAGGCACCTAGACCACTTTATCGCAATGAAGTGGTCTGGGTGCGGTATTCCTGTCCCACTGAGTCCTGCAATGTAAAACATGGCAGTTTTTGAGAAACCTGCAATAAATGTGTTTGGGAATTAGATTGTGGAAATGAGATACTTGTTCTTGATTTAATTTGCATTTCAGTTGTAGAAATGATTAGAAAATCACTTAAAATGTTTCAGAACACCCCCCCCTCTTTCCCTCCCCCTGCCCCCCATCATTCACACCCCTAAAATTAAAATGTCCCTCTTTGTCTATTTGAATTGTTGGGACATATCTGTCTATGCATCTGTCTATCTCCTGCCTGTCCTTCTACACGTCTGTCCATCCATTCATTGTCTATCTGTCTCCTTTCTGCCATTTGCCTTTTCCTCCCTTTCCATGAGCAAGACAATGATCTGGGCACTTGGATGCATGCTTATTAATACACCATTTGCCATGCATTCTTTTAAGCTGGTTGGTATACTTTATAATAAGATGATTGTGAATAGACAGAAGCCCGTCTTTCATACTTCAACTATGGCAAGGGCTTGTATAGCAGCATTTCTTTCCTTGGAAGTCAAGCTGAACTCCTAGAGTTTTAAACCCCGAGTTACCCTTTATTTCCAGAAACGAGCATGCCAGCCAGCAGCCGGTCCTATTACAGCAGACAAACAAGTCTGTGTTGTAACTTTTTTATAGTTTTACAACTGTAACTTTATTAGAGCTGGGCTGACTCTGCATCGCTTTATAAATATCCCATTGGTTGAAAAACGCAGAAGTGAATATTATTGTGGTGGTTTTATGCGTGTTAATCTTTTGCTTTGCTTGTGCAATTCTTCTCAAATTTAAACCTATCAGGTTTTCTATTATTTAAAAGGGAACAGCTAACTGTAAAATAAAAAAAGGAACACTTCAACATTAAAGGAACACTCCAATCACCATAACCGCTACAATACAATGTAGGGGTCATGGTGCTAGGAGCGCCCTGGCGTCCAACTCGATAAATGTCAAACCATTTTAAAACAGTTTGATTTCATAACTGTGGTCTACCACCCACCACTCCCTGCCTTAGAGTAGAGTTGGAATTTTTCTGCCTGAGCATAGCTCAGCAGTGCACGACTCATTGGCTGACAGTGATCAGCTACCGGTTTGGTCTGGGTGTGCTGGAATTTTCTGTTCGTTGACTGTGACATAGGGGGCCCACATTTCCCGGATCGCCCGGGACAGTCCCGCATTTTGAGAGTCTGTCCTGGGTCGCGCTGTCCGACTGAGTCAACTTGGAATAAGTTGAGCTGCACCGCCGCAGACCTGGATTGGCCATCAGGCAAACTGGGCAAATGCCCAGTGGATCTCCCCTGCCGGCAAACGCAGGGCGGACGCTCAGTGAGGGCAGCAAAAACGTGACAAAGTCCCTTGATGGGCCGGTGAGGAAACTGGAATTCTCCTTCAGCAGCCTATTGCACAGACAGACAGAGCGGCGCAGGGAGCGGCTGTATTAATCTCCAGTTGGGGGGCAGCCATGTCAATTTATGATTTTATTATGTGTTTGTATCATGATTGTACATAGTGGTTTGGAAAAGATTTATCCTCAGGATTTATTTGTTGATAAAGAGACGGAACAAAGCTGCTTTGGAAAAACCATGTGCATCAGTGTCAACAAAATTCTCTTCCTCACACACATCACACACAGTGAAGGGCTTGTTCTTCCCTGACACAGCACTGTATACAGTAACACATAACTCTAACATATAACAACCAGCTAAAAATAAAACAATGCGTTCTGTTCATCAACGCACACGTAGACCAGGCTCTAAAGGGTAATATCTGACTGACTGGCATGGACAACAAATTACACAAAAAATAGACAAAACAAAGATAATGAAAATTGTCTTTGTCTGTAAGTAAAGTTGAAGTGTCAGTGTGAATGAGAAATTGACTGTACAAAACATATAGCAAAAATAGAAAAAGGGAACCGCACTCAATTCTCTTAAAGTAAAGGGTGCTAACTGGACCACGATACAGCACTGGCCCAAGAATAATAGATTCCAGTAGCAGAGAGAGAGTCCATGCACTCCAATGACTTCAGGCAAATTTATTATCCAAAGTGTGAGCTAATCCTTGGTGTGAAGTAGTTTGACAAAGACCCTATCTGGGGTGGAAACGTTGCAGTATCCCACATGTTCTAATAAACATGCCTGAAGTCATTGGAGTGCCTAGACTTTCTCTTTGCTACTGGTATGTACAAAACCTATAAAACCCAGTGGTTGCAAGTAGATTAATTCATTGAATTTATATACATGCCTGCAATACTATAAAGCATAAATATCTCATACCTCCCAAGTGTCCCTGCTTAGAAGGGACAGACACTCTTTGGGCTTAATTCCATTTGTACCTCTCTCTGTGCTTCATGCCTTAAAGCTCAGTATTCTTGGTGTGCCGAATTTATACCAGACCTCTACAGCAAAAACACTCCCAGTAATGTTAGTTTAAAGGACCAGTATAGGCACCTAGGCTAGGACACTTCAACGCAATGAAGTGGTTTGAGTGCAGTGGTCTTTTTTTTAAAAACATTGCAGTTTTCGAGATACAATGTTTTTAATTGCACGGTTAAAAACATTTCAGGTGGCTCTCTTCCCGACAGCCGTCTGAGGGTGCTTCTAATGCAACAACTGCGTCAAACTCAGTCATGTGACATTCAATGTCCTCAAATGCTGATCATAGCAAATTATTTGATTTAGTGCATTCTAATGAGAAGCATTTGATTGTACACTCAACGTCCACAATGCTTCTGTTAGAAACAGTGAATGGGAAGCAGAAAGGAAACTGCCTGCGGGGCGACTTAACCGGAGGCATAATGGACGGCGGCACAGAATGACTAAAACCCTTTTTTTAAAACATTTTATTTAGGTGGGCCTCTGAATCTAAACAAGGAGTAAATCACTATAGCATTAGGAATACAGGTTTGTATTGATATTGCTATAGCGTTTTTCTTTAAACTAAAATAAATGTGTTTCGAAATCAGTCTGTGTAAATAGGATATTATTAGAATAAAATTGTTCTATTTTAAATTTTGGTAGCATATATTGTTATTTGGAAGTCACCTAGGATTTCAGTCCCTGGCCACAGCCCCACTCACACCCCTAAGATAAAAGTATCCATGTCTGACATTTTGAAATGTCGCGAGGTATGATATCTCGTTTTGAACTCTTTTGAACATACTGTGGGATTTAAAACTATTTGCAGACTATACAGATCCACAAACACTGGCAGAGCTGATTCAAAGAGGAAATTATTTTTTTTGAAACTGAAAGAGCGAGTATATAGAGAGCTGTGTCTATAGATTCCAGAGCAAACACTTCTATGTATATACCAATGCACACAAACCTCCAAATCTGTACTTTTAGAGCCTATTCGGTAAACCGTGAATTTGAATGGTTTCAATATCGCGATATTTTAGGCTTAAAATGGCCATTTGGAAAAGAAAAATACTGAATTGGAGACTTTTGTCCATTATTTTGGATTTCATTATTTGTTATTTCAATTCACGTTTTGGAAGAGTGAACCGCCGAGGACAAAACTCTTTCTGTGTATGTGCCAATTGAATGTGTTCATACCACATGTAACATACAGGATTGCACGTATGTAAATCATCTAACGAGAAGGAAAGCCATTGACACACAAATGGAACACAATGAATCCTGCTAGGCTGAATGTTTTTCAAGATAAATCTACTATGGATGATACCATTGCATTTACTTACTAAACCGTGATTGTGGTGTATTGAAAATAACAATAGCTACATTTAGACCAAAATAGTAATGATGACAATATAGAGTTTTTCCAGATATTGTGGACTACATCTCCCATGATGCTTACCAGCATTATAGCTGTTAGAGCATTATGAAAGATGTAGTCCACAATATCTAGAGTGCCAAAGGTTGCCTACCCCTGCTAGTAGGTAAAAGAGCATTTTTTTGGAAGATTATGTACTATGGTTTTCATTTTGCAAATCAGGTTATCAATTCACAAAGTAGTAAAAAAAAAAATTGCTACTTGGAAATATAATCAGGGAAAAAAACCTGTATTTTTCTGTAAGGTTTAATGATAGAACTAAGGTACAGATGCAGTGCAGAGGATTCCACTGTAATGTATACATTGTTATTGTCCCCATCACTGCGTAAAATCCATTATCGAATACTTTCCATTCACGTATTAGGCTCTCATGCCTATCAGGCTGTTTAATGATTAACCGGTCTACTCTTAAATCTTAGACTCGACTTGAGATAAGGAGGAATGTAGGGTAAAGTTCCAACGAAGCAAGAGTCACCTTGAAATGCTAGTTTAGAAATTTCAATAGTATTATTTTATTATTTATATAGCGCCAGCAAATTCCGTAGCGCTGTACAATGTGTGGACTAACAGACACGTATTTGTAACCAGACAAATGGGAACTGAGGGGTTGAGGGCCCTGCTCAATGAGTTTACATGCTTGAGGGAGACGGGTATAGTGACACAAAAGGTAAAGGTAAGGGTTATGAAATAGGTTGCTATAACTTTGGTTATTTTTGACAGTTGCAGGAGAGGAGTCATGGGGGATTGACGGGGGTTGAGGGGGGAGGGATGAAATCCCGCTAACAGTTTAAATTATATGCTTTGCTGATTTTTTGAAGGAGTGGAGACTGGGTGAAAGTCTAATGGAGAAGGGCAGGGAGGTCCAAAGAAAAGGTGCAGCCCTGGAGAAATCTTGGAGGCGTGCATCAGAGGTGGGAGTACGGGCAGTGGATAGATGTATGTCTTTGGCAGAGCGCAGGGGCCTCAACGGGACATACTTGTGTATTAGGGAGGATAGGTAGGTTGGAGCAGCATTATGTAGGGAATTGTAAGCAAGCACCAGAATCCTAAATTGAGCCCTATATCTAACTGGAAACCAATGTAGGGACTGACAGAGGGGGGAGGCGTCGGAGGTGCGGGTGGACAGGAAAATGAGCCTCACAGCGGTGCAGTCTGGGAATACATAAGACCACTGAGAAGTGGATTGCAGTAGTCAAGGCGAGAAAGAACAGGAACCTTAGTTGTGTCAATATGGCAGCTACCATGTGGCATGTCTTAATTCTATTAGACTCCTTTACATTTGTCAATTTTTTTATTACACATTAAATACCCTGGATAGCATAGCACACACAAAAAAAATGTATTCGCTCTCAATGTATATTTAAATCTATGTAAACACTTTCTTCACAAATTCATATGGAGTTTCATATATGCTGAGGACTTTGAAAATGCTCACTATGTTAGTCATTCCCACTGACACCCAAATAGCACTTGTCCACTTCACATTTTTCTTTCCACTTGTGCTGCTACAAAAAGCTCTTCCCATTTGAAGACCCCGCCAGACGTGTAGATCAGCACATTTCAATACTCTTTTAGACCCTCTACCCATTTCAGCTTCTGTGAAATGACCTATCCATTTCAGCCCCCTCCAGACTCTGACCATTTAAGATCTTCCGCAAACTTCATGACCTGTTCTCGAACTATATACCTACATCAGATCCTTCTGATGATTTCAGAGACCCTGTGTTGAAGTCAGACCTCTGCACCAAGTTTAGATCCTTACAGGGTTACACAAGTATGTATATCTATATATAAGCTCCTTGTAAAAAAAAAATAGTCAACAGCAGCAAATTAATTTATCAGGAGCAGAAAGAAGACTGGTCATAGCACAGATAGTGGTGTTTGCCAACAACCAATAATCCACTGAGCAGTGGAAGACTCAACAGCTGCAGATACTGTGATCGGGGCTGGGCCACTTGGAATTTTGTGGTTTATATACTGAGTGAACGCTGTGAGTGTAACTAGTTTAATGTTTCCATTTACGTGACTAACTGGATGCAAATGGTATCAAATAAAAGTGCGAATATATACGCCTACATTTTTGCTATTCGGTGTATGCGTCTGGGTTTAATGCTGTGAAAATCTGGCGTTTCTACATATCATTAGCTATTGTTTATGGTTTCTTATATTTCAAATAATGATTGTGACCGTTACTAGTGCAGTAAGAGACAGAGTGCACATAGCAGAGTTTTAACGCATGCATTTTGTGTTGCAATTTTCATAATTGAGCCTTAATTCCCATAGGAATTCAGCTATTAAAGGGTTACTCCAAGCACCATGACAACTTCAGTGATTTAAAGTAGTCACGGTACCTGGTGTCTGTATGTGCAGCGTTTTTCTATGAAATGCTGCACAGACTAAGTTTAGCTACTGGAGGGGTCCTAGTGCCTGTGAACACTGTGAGTGCATCTAATGATACTCTTGCACTGTGCTACACATGGACAATTCGTTTTTGTCCATGGATGTGGGGCACCAGGAAATGAAGGACCCTAAAATCGGAACTGCTGTGAGGTCTGATACAATGTGCACCATAACCTATGCCAGGGGTAGGTAACCTTCAACACACCATATATTGCAGACATCATCTACCATAATGCTCTTACAGCCGTAATGCTGGCAAAGCATCATGGGAGATGTCCACAATGTTACCTACCCCTGACCTATGCTATGAATATGAACTGTTAAGAAACATATATACTGTCTTTCTAAATTATTTCCTCTTTAAAACACAGCTAAAACGAACTAGAATGATGTACTGATGAGCAGCTTGAAGTCTGCCATTTATCTTTCAATGTCACACGGTTACAGGCCGCAATAGTCTTATCTATGGATCATACCAGTGAATTCTATCAAACTGTTTTGAAAAAAAATTAATAGGTTTATTCAGCCAAAATAGCTCAACAGGAAAATAATTCCACATCTCAGCTCATGTGACCTGTTGGTTATTATGGCCTAATGATTTACATTCCCTTTTCAATTCCACGGTTTTTGGTTTAGCAAATAAATCCATTAATACAGGGGTGCCCAAAAGGTAGATCCCGGATGCTTTCAAACTACAGCCTCCATGATGCTTTGTCATTCGAAATGCATTTTAAAGGCATGCAAATCATTATGGGAGGTGTAGTTCTACAACATCTGTGGATCTGCCTTGTGGGCAACCCTGCATTAATATTACAGAATCTACTTGCATCACAAATACATATATAATCCGACTATTCCTTTAACATGACTTGTTTTTCTCTTGTAGGGGTCTTTCTCATTCCTTACATTCTGATCGCTATCCTTGGTGGAATCCCCATTTTCTTCCTGGAGATTGCTCTTGGTCAGTTTATGAAAGCGGGCAGTATTGCAGTCTGGAACATCGCACCTATATTTCAAGGTCAGATCTTTATCTCTTCTAAAATGTCATTGTTCTGGTACTCGGTGCTCATTCTATACTTTCTGTGGACAGACGAATGCTTTTTTTTTTTTACTTTTCCATGTTCTGTTTCTAAACATGCTGTGTTGTGACCCTACACTAATGTATGTAAGTTCAGCAAACCAATTTCAATTCCAAGGGGAATTCCTTTTTCAAACTCTTGTCTGACAATGTTGTGCTTTTGTAGCCCTCGGCATTAATCCTATAATTAAATGTTTGCATTTGCATTTCTATTTCCTTCTGCTCTACCACTGCTCTTAATCCAAGGCATGTCCTTGTAGCCTTTTTTGTGATATCCATGAATCGTGTAGCTACGAAGGACAAGAACTCAAAGTTACACTTGTTATCCATTTTCTTCTCTGCACATATTAATTCATCTTTGCACATTGTTGCACACAGGTTAACTGGGTCAAACGATTTTTAATCCTGCTAAAATCTTTTCAATTAAAATGGATAATATTAACTTTAGACAGAGCCTAGAACAGAAAGGGAGTCTTTCTGAATCTGAAGTTTGAGGCCAATCTTAAGTACGGTCTAGTAACAAAGAAGTCTTGAACTCAACCCAAGAACTTTCTACATAGGACTCTGTTGCTGAAGGACATATCGGTCAAGACCGGTTGTTAAATCCAATTTCACAAAACTGTCATTATTAGCCATATAAGCTCATAATTGCTTGAGAGCATCCCCTAGATAAATTTTAAACCTCTGAGATATTTACTATGGTTGTAAGACTACATCTACAAGAATGATCAACACTGAAATGATTTAATAAGCAGCAGACAGTTCTCACTTCAAAAGGCAAAGTATTTGTATGTGTAAAAAAATTCTACTAAATATAAATGTTAATAATGTCATTTTGGTATGACTTTGTACTCTAAGTGATATATCTTAAAGGAACACTAACAGGGATATTCACTGACATGAGAATTCAAAGTGAATCTCAAATTTAAAGGAACACTATAGGGGAAGGAATACAAGCATTTATTCCTGACCATATAGTGTTAAAACCACCATCTAGCCCCACTGGCCCCCATTTTCCCCTGTAAATTTAGCAAAATCTTACTTTTATTGCAGTCTGCTGCTGTTTGCTCTGCCCCTGATCTGCCTGCTTGGCTGACATCATCAGAACCGTTGAACAAAAGCCAATCACAATGCTTTCCCGTAGGATTGGCTGAGACTGTCAATGAGGCAGATCAGGGGGAAGTGCCAGCAAAAGCCAAACACAGCCCTTGCCAATCAGCATTTAATCAATGCATCTCTATGAGGAAAGTTCCGTATCTGCATGCAGAGGATGGAGACACTGAATGGCAGTGCTGCACACTAGACAGTACTGCTCCAGGAAGCACCTCTAGAAGCCAAGGAGTGGCCACGGGAGGTATCCCTACACTGCAATGTAAACACTGCATTTTCTCTGAAAAGACAGTGTTTCCTGCAAAACGCCTGAAAGAATGATTATACGCACCAGAACAAATACAATAGGCTGTAGTTGTTATGGTGACTATATTGTCCCTTTAAGGCAAAAGTAGCCAAAATGGAAGCATCACTGAGCTACAGAATGTTTCCGGTTTGGCTACTTTGACCTTAGATTTGAAATTTACTTTTGTGAATAACCTTGTACAGTATTAGGAATATAAAGGTGTTTTCATAATGCTAAAATGTTCTCCTAACTATTAAGATGCAGGGTCCCCCTTAATGAAGTAAAAACATGGTAAATGAAGCAATTACTTACCTTTTTTCCAGTGTCAAGACTCACTCTGTGCTGCTGCCCTCTCCTCCTCGTGCAACGTTATCTTGGAGGTATCCCCTTCCTGGCTTCTCTTCCAATCCAGTAATTTTCATAGAGAAGCACTGGGGATGAGATGCGTGGCGAGTGCCGCACACGCTTCCAATCAAATGCTTCTCCTAGGGAAGCATTGAATCGGCATTTCAAACTCCCAGAGTATGTTGTGTTTTTTTTTTAATTTTATCACTGTGTCATTGTGTTATTTATATGTGTTACTGATTACCCCATTTCTACATTGAAGGGATCGGCTTTGCATCTGTGGTGATTGTCTTTTTTTGCAACACCTATTACATCATGATCCTGACTTGGGGTGTCTATTACCTGGTGAAATCTTTCACGGCTACGCTGCCCTGGTCACAGTGTAACAACACGTGGAACTCTCCAGAATGCGTAGAGATTTTTAGGCACGAAGACTGCAGCAATGGCACAGCCAATTCAACCTTTGGCAACTTGACCTGTGACGAGCTGTCGGACAAGGTGTCCCCCATTGTGGAGTTTTGGGAGTAAGTAGCCTTCATTTCAGTTCTTTTTTTTTTTTCCTTCATATATTCAATGTGTAGGGGAATGCATTTCTGTAAATTGTATGTGTAAGCATTAGTGTTTTTGTATGTGTACGAGATAAACAATGGATTTACCATAATCTTTGTGTGCATACTGTCAGTGGCAACCCATTATCACCTCCATGTGCTCTTTTCTATGTCCTTGCATACGCATGATATATATAAGAAGTAAGCAGAGTCTTTAGCGTAAGGATGGTATGAAGCCTAGTAGAACTGGGTGCAGCCAATGGGAGATGTGGTATCCTATGTTTGCATCCCATTGGTTGCACACAGTATTTTAATTTAGTGATACATAATATAGTATATTTTTTTTGTCTGCCATATTTTTATTTATTTTTTATACACGGTATATGCCTATATATATATATATATATATATATATATATATATACAATTTATACAAAAATAAATTTATATAATATTTTTTTTTCCTGATTGGCTATTTTGGCCTTACTTCAATTTTAATTCCTGCCAAATTCTCAGTTTATCGAATAATTCTGACAATGTTTAGTTTCGAGATTCCTTTTGACAGAATCCACTCTCACCGCTCCTTTGATGAAAGATGCCCTCTATATTTATAGATAAAGTGAAGAAGTAAATTTATAGTGCATAAAGACTATCACTACCGGAACAAGGAGAGTGGTCAACTTAATCTCCTACTGATAGGTCTATTAAAGTCAAGTGGTTCTATGATAATAGTTCTGGTCCTTACAACTGAGAAAATTGTAGATAGTACAAAAGCATTACATGATACGTAGCAAGTAAGGCTTAACAAGAGAACTATTAGGATAAATGGCTTAATAGTATCATTCCTTGTTACAAATAATATTTTTGCATGAATTGCTTTTAATTTGGATAGAAAGTAATTAAACATTGTACTAATTTGCTTGGTAGACATAGGCGTGCGCACGGGGTGTGCCGGGTGTGCCTGGGCACACCCTAATCCCCGTGCGCACCCCTATGGTTTGAGTCCTGCAGGAACAGCGTTCCTGCACTCTTTTGAGCAGGAACGCTGTTCCTGCAGGCACTCAGTGTCCCCTGTTTCACCTCTTGCCCCTGTCATGGGAGGGCAAGAGGTGATGATTCCTCCCCCCCTACCCTGCAGGTCAGCCGCGGCGAGGGAGCTCTCTGCTCTCTGCTTCCTCTCGCCGCGCGCTGATGCCGGGAGCCGGAATATGACGTCATATTCCGGCTCCCAGCTCCAGCAGACAGCCCGCGCGGCGAGAGGGAGCAGACAGCAGAGAGCTCCCTCGCCGCGCGCTGACCTGCAGAGAGGCGCCCGCCCCCACTGGACCCCAGGGACAAGTCCACCAGCACTCCAGGTAGGAGGCTGGGTGGACATTTAAAAAAAAAATTTAAAATATAATAATTTGTGTGTGTCTGTGAGTGTGTGAGTATGTGTCAGTGTGTGTGTGTGTCAGTGTGTGTGTGTGTCAGTGTGTGTGTGTGTGTCAGTGAGTGTGTGTCAGTGTGTGTCTGTAAGTGTGTGAGTATGTGTCTGTGAGTGTGTGTGTCAGTGAGTGTGTGAGTATGTGTGTGTGTGTGTGTGTGTCAGTGAGTGTGTGAGTATGTGTCAGTGTGTGTCTGTGAGTGTGTGAGTATGTGTCTGTGAGTGTGTGAGTATGTGTCAGTGTGTGTCTGTGAGTGTGTGAGTATGTGTCTGTGAGTCTGTGAGTGTGTGTCAGTGTGTGTCTGTGAGTGTGTGAGTATGTGTCTGTGAGTGTGTGAGTCAGTGAGTGAGTGTGTGTGTCTGTGAGTATGTGTGTGTTTCTGTGAGTGTGAGTGTGTGTGTCTGTGAATATATATATACGTATATATATATGTATATATATATATACACACACACACACACGCGCGCGTGTTTGTGCTTTAGGGTGCACACCCTAATGCAATAGGCTGCGCATGCCTATGTTGGTAGACGTAAGACCATATGATCACTATGGGATTTATTCAGCAGTCGTCTAAATGGAATTATTTGAAAACTGAATTAAAACATTTACGCCAAAACTGCCTTAATGCGACTGTAGATGAATTGGTGTACATTTCCAATCAGCATTATTTTTTCGGCTAAGGTTTGCAATTCTGAATTTCCAGACCTCAACAATTTTGGTATTTTTTTTTTAATAAACCATTTTGTTTTCTTGTATACGATCTATATTAATCTTGTACAAGATCATCGTTTAGCCGTAATATACATATTTCGTACAGAGCAGAAACGATACCTGATTTTATTTTATAATCATTGGGGTAGCGGAAAATCTAGCCTTTCCTCAAAAACAGAGTGGTAGTTGACTCGATTTCCAAAGTGATGAGGGATGATAAGACTGTGACAGCAGTTAAAGAGGCCATAGTTAAGATGGTCCTGCTTTTTCTAACAGCTATTAATACTATTTAAGCCCCTACTGCTGGGAGTAATTCAGCTGGGATAAATGTGAGAAATACGACTTTCTCACATCTGCAGTATATTTAGGTTCTGAAAGTTAATTCCATTCATTGCCACATTTTGGCTGCTTTGGCCCGCTTCATGCCATATAAATAAATATACTTAGTAGCCCTTATGCACATTATCATAGAGAGGACTAAATTTCAAGTATTACACTACTAGCCAGACCTTAAAATGTACTTGCCACTATATACCTGGAGTAATTATGGCTCACTCACCAAGGGGGGATTTCTACTCGCCACTGGCTCGTAGAAATGTGAGCCCTAATCATAGGTTTGCCATGGTGTACATTGTATGCCAGACTATACCTTGATAATAAAAAAACAGGAAGCACACCAAAACTACTGCAAATATAACTGTAACTTTATTAACAAAGCAATATGACAATCAGACATATAAAAGACAAACAGTGATTATGCTAGAATCTATGCATAAAATATCAGCATTGAAATCAATAGCCTTCAAGAGCAGGACACAAGTCACACACAAAAAAAGAGCATTGTTTCGGCACACAGAAAGGTGCTTTTCTCAAGGGTAACCTGTATCACACCGTATCTGGTACTGAATATTTAACCCTTTAAATAAAGTTGGTTATATTTGCAGTAGTGTTTGCATCCTGGTTTTTTTTAGACATTTGTTTTTTATTATTATTATTTATAAAATATTTTACCAGGAAAGATACATACCTAAGGGAGTATCCATTTAGGTTTGCACCCTATAATTACATAGTGTACGCTCCAATGCAAATCATTCTAAAACTATACCTAGAAAGTATATGGTGTATATAACAGTTAAAAAATGTGAGCACACACCATAAGTCATTTTTAGTTTACCAGTAGTTATATAAAACTCTCTCAAGTGGCCTTCCTTCTGTAATTAATTTTTTTTTTTTTTTTTAAAAGCTGTGTGAACCCTGCACCTCTTATTGTGATTTTCTTTAAAAGTGCTTTGTCTTGTGCTTCGTCTAACCAGGACTTGTACCAGGGAATTGTACTTTTTAGAACAAAGCAGCAAAGAAATAGCTGAGTATTTGTTTTTCCAATTTTGCTCCTTTGGCCTACAAATTGATATTCCCTGAACAATTTCAAGCAATTCATGCCTCCGTGAAAATTCCTGTAGGTTTGTGTCTGTGATCGTGAGTCACGAGCTTGGAGTTCAATCATTTTTATGTGTCAGCAGAATAAGAACAAGACAATAGTATGTACATCACGTGTGATTTCTGGGATCCACGTCTTGCATTTTAACTCTTCACTGCCTGGCAGCCAAGAGTTAGAAGGGCTATGATTCATCTTGTCATAGCATTTTTATCCAAAAGAAATGCCATTCAGATATAGGAATTTTGAATCATTGCTGTGATGTTAGTTTGTGTGCATCGTGACTGCTTGTACGTTTATACACAACTGTAAAAATGACGAAAACTTGGTTGCTTCTTAATATTAAATCAGAAAGGATTTAAAGTGTAAAAAAAGTTTACTATAACACAAACATTTGGATTGTGCAGGAGCAATCTTTTACGTTAAAATACAGCAGTACTTCACACATGGCTCCAATTGCTAACCGATAATAAATTTCCAAAAATTATCGTTGAATATGTCTACTTTGCGTACATTTTTCAAATATCATCTCAGATTCTAAGAGGAGCCCCGTAATACCTCATAAGTACCAATTATATTCTTTATTATCATCATGATTTGTGTCGTTGGACGTGTTCCAGCTTTAAAACTCTTATTGATTTGCTGTTGGAAGGACTCTATAGTTCTAAGAGTGAAGGTCATTCTTTACTGGCAACGTGTCAGTAGTTTGGTCGATTATGTCATGATATTGCCAATTTAAAATGCCCATTATATATTCCTATAGACCAGTGGTTCGCAACCCAGTCCTCAAGTACCCCCTAACAGTCCAGGATTTAGGGATTACCCAGTTGTGTCTAAGGTGTTTTTAGTAAGAAAGAAAAAAAACACTTTAGGGGTAATCCCTAAATCCTGGACTGTTAGGAGGTACTTGAGGAGCTACATGTTGGGAACCCCTGCCAGTTGCTCTTCTTTAAAGAGACACTCCAAACCCTTAAAACTGGACTCAAAGTAACAAGCAGAAAAACATGACAAAACAAAAATTCTCAGCAAACATAGATTTCAATAAAAGACTAATGTGTTTCTTTAGCAAAATAATGCAGCGAACGGGGAAAGCAGACAAATAAAATAAGATGAGAGGTAAAGGACTTTGTTAAAAACTTTTTCTTTTTCTCACGGAAAGTTATAATAAAAATAAACTGATGGAAAAGTAGCAGAATTCATAAAGAATAGATTGCAGATCAAATCCAAAACGCTATTTTAGTAAGTTTCTTATTTCGTAGGAGAGGGCATGTAGAATTAAGCAATAGGGATTACTTATGGCCTGATAAATTAATGTATAACATATATTGGGTTTTTGTTTTTTATATTGAATGCTAAGACCCCTCAAATAATTTTTAGAGGTAGCAAAATGACTGACTGAGAATGGTCTACTAGGGTGGGTTGTACTGAAACCAGACACATTCTGTACAGTACAATACAAAATAATTGCCTTGTGTAAAATTTGACTTTAATTATCTCACAGGACCATCTCACTGGACTCATCCAAAGACCAAGAGTAGGATGTTTTAAAAACGATCACTCAAAGAACTTAACTCATAATAGACTGGGGTTTAAAGGATAATCGTGCTTGTCTGCAGATGGTTCTGTCAATGCGATTAAGATTAGGATGAATTTAGTACATGCTTAAATTCTTGGCTTTTAAGAGTTCTATCAACGCTAGTTTGAGAAACAAAATATACAAAGTAATAAACAGACAATGTGACACTGAGGATAATACCCTGCCCCTCGAACATTAGCCCTCTAAATGACTGAAATCTCATAGCTATACCACAATTATTGAGTCGTTTTTTAAAAGGAAGTTACTTAACCCCTTAACCCCTTAAGGACACATGACATGTATGACATGTCATCATTCCCTTTTATTCCAGAAGTTTGGTCCTTAAGGGGTTAAGGACCAAACTTCTGGAATAAAATGGAATCATGACATGTCACACATGTCATGTGTCCTTAAGGGGTTAAAGAGAAGAGATGACATGCTTTCCTATATTCTATCTAAGAGAGTATCTCAGAATTCTAATATTTTAGAAATTGATTTATTTATTTCACAAATCATTGTAATTTTCACCTGTGTTTTTACAGTCTACAAACCTTCTGGCCTTCAGTTTGTGCCAGCTCCTGTCAATCAGTCACACTTAAATTAGAATGCACTTATTTTCCGTGTCGCAAAACAAACTCTAAGCACATTTAAAATGTCATTCAGCAAATCAGTGTGGCTCCATTGTTGATTGTAGACATTTCCAGTCTATGGGAGGGTTTTTTGTTCCAACATTGGATCAATCAGCATAAAAATGTGTCAATGTTTCTATGGTGATCGTTCCACCATAATATTTAAAATGTCAATTCGCCTTTTAAGGTCAGGGATAAATTTTTCAGATTAGGGTTTTTTTTTTGTTTTTTTTTTTTTAATTACATTTTTTTTTTGTCTTTATAACTGTAATTATTTTAATAAATCATCAATATATATATATGTAGTTTCCCAATGTAATGCAGTTCTTCACTTCCTGTACATTTGTTCGTTCTCTTGCTATGATGTTTTCTTGCAGTGTTGCGAGCGAGTGGCGGTAGGGGAAGTGTGTCCGCGCACTGCGCCCCAGCAATCCCAAAGAAAGGAACGGATCAAATGACCTCTCGCTGGCAGCTGCAGGGTGGGATGGTCTTGTTAACATGATTCTGAAACATGTGAGCCTGAAAACAGCCTCTCCAATTTTAATTAATCTTTTTATTTATGTATTTTATAAAACTACTCTGTGAATTGTATATTTTCCCTTCCTTTGTTTGTTTGTTTGTTGTTTGTTTGTTTGTTCGTTTTTTCTTTTTGTTTAACTGTGGTTCTTTGGTGATGTTGTGAGATGGTTTCTGAAGAGGATACTGGTGAATGGCATTGACTTTTTGAGAAATGCTGTCAGACAGAGGGAATTACTGAGGCTTTAAATTCTAAAACAGACTTTTATAATGCCCGGTCATTGCCTCTGTATGTCTGGCTCATTACATTAGTCACTAGTCATATACCAAAAGCCTACTGATGCAAACAAAATGGGGCAAATGTGGTGCGTCTATTGGAAATCTTTTTCAATTGGTCCATTAAAACTCTCACTAATATCTCGCACCCCTTTTTGACCCAGCTGTTTTGCAGGAGTAATATTTTGGGCTTATTCTTATACTGCTGATAATTGTGATATTGCCATTGGCTTAAACAGCAGTCATTTTCATTGCTGGTACAATTCATAATGCCTGATGAATAGGACCCTGTAATATGACCCCTTAATTTATTATTTCAAAACTTGTTTAGTCTAGAAAGAATTCTGGAGACGATTTAGAAGAGGGTATATAAATAAGCGGCGGTGTTTGGCTCTACAGCGTAATCTGGTGATAAATCTAATTTAAGTCTGTACTATGTATAGTACCACGAGGTTAAGTTGTAAAACCCAACGTCGACTTATTGAATCCATACAGCCATTCCGTCTCTGAAATCCATCCTTCTCTTTCCCTTTATTTAACAAATGATGGATTTTAAATATTTCCAGAGCCAGGATTAAAGAAGATGGTTGACCCATAAGAGGGTTTAACTGTTATCCTTTAAAAAAATACACTTAAAAAGTCAAAACAGGTGCCCATTATTTTTCTGGCATTAGTCACATACTGGACGACCCCGGTAAAAGCTAAGGATATGGAATTCTGAGGTCATCCTGGCCTTGGACCTCTCATAACAATGTCAAATCACTAATTTAGAATTATTAAGCTTAGCGGTGTCACACTGTAACAAAAAATGCATTCAGCTATATCTTATGAGTCATTTTTTTCTTTTTTTAGTGGCCACTGGTCATTGTTCGTATTATGAATGTATACAATGTGTAGTCTCTCCCACCAGCATTCCTTTTGATTAGTGCATTTGTCAGCTGTAAGTAATGGTCAGAATAGCACATTTTATGCTAGCAGACCTTACTGTTGATATTGCAATTTGCATTCATGGAAATTGTAGAAAATGATTTGGACTGTTAAAAATAGAAACAAGCTCTAGAGGCGCCAATCTTTAATCTTTAGTTAATCATGTTTGCCTCTTTAAACTTATCCAGCCAAATGTCCATCTAAATTATTTCATGTGTCCCTGTTTAAGAATTTCTTTTTTTTACCTACAAATCATTAAGTGTTCCATTTAGTTTTGCACTCACGTGCACACACACACATAGAGGTAATTAGTGATTTGGTTATTTGTGACGTGGATGAACCCAAGTACATGGCCATGTAGTGACCATTGACAATTTTGGTGTATGAATGGCCAGTACTTCACAGCTCAGTGGTTTTCAGTGTGCAACTTGATGCTAGACTTGCCCTGGTCAACTGTACGCACTGTTATCAAGAAGTGGAAAAGTCTACAAGAAGTAACAGCTCAGCCGTGAAGTGGCATGCTACAAAAGCTCGCAGAATGTGACAGACGGGTGCTGACGTTCAGTACGCGCAAAGATCATCTTTCCTGTTCAACATCCACTAATGAGTTGCAAACATTCTGTTCTAAAATGTCTCTGGATGTATTGCCAGCACAAGAATGGTTCAATGGGAGCCTCATCATATATTTATTTATCTTATGGCCTTTTGTTCTAGGCTGGGTAATGATGCTGCCAGATGTGGACTTAATCTCGGTATCTGGACGATGACCACTTCAAATCAATAGAGGAACTATTTAAAGTGGCCCTGTCACCCCCTCTGAAAAATAAGTATTTCAGAAAGATGGAATCTTTATGAAATACTCATATTGAATGTGTTGGAATGTCACTGAAATTCCAAACCAATCAAGACATATACTGAGACAAAGCAGGTTCTACTTTGTCTCAGTATTTCTAATACGCCTGACACTTCAAGACACTGGGCGGAGCTACCGCCGTCTAGAAGTGTAAATCCCCCTAGCCATCACCAGTGACGGCTGCAGGAAATTGGCTTTATCTATGGAGGGTCTCGTGGATCCTCTATAGACCTGAATGCAGTACTCTTGCGCATGTGCGAGAGTCCAGCAGTGACATCAGCTGGTGGCGCTGAAGAGAACCTGAAGACGACCCGCCGGGAGATGATGGCGGTGCCTGAGAGGGACAGGTTCAAGTAAGCAGAACTCTCCTTTGCCTACCGCCCAGTGGTGATGGCACTGTCGGAGGTCTTTTAAATTCTGCAAAGTCCCTAGACAGTGACGCTGTAAGTCAACAGCTGATTGCATTTGTTGGACATATTGGCTAGAGACACCCATCCTTCCTACATTACCATATTTTCATCATGCATACAAAATATATATATTACAGAATTACAATCTATGTAACTTCAGCTTAAAATTAAAATACAGTTACTCCATGTAACCAGAACCAACAGTATTATACAGGGAGTGCAGAATTATTAGGCAAGTTGTATTTTTGAGGATTAATTTTATTATTGAACAACAACCATGTTCTCAATGAACCCAAAAAACTCATTAATATCAAAGCTAAATATTTTTGGAAGTAGTTTTTAGTTTGTTTTTAGTTATAGCTATGTTAGGGGGATATCTGTGTGTGCAGGTGACTATTACTGTGCATAATTATTAGGCAACTTAACAAAAAACAAATATATACCCATTTCAATTATTTATTATTACCAGTGAAACCAATATAACATCTCAACATTCACAAATATACATTTCTGACATTCAAAAACAAAACAAAAACAAATCAGTGACCAATATAGCCACCTTTCTTTGCAAGGACACTCAAAAGCCTGCCATCCATGGATTCTGTCAGTGTTTTGATCTGTTCACCATCAACATTGCGTGCAGCAGCAACCACAGCCTCCCAGACACTGTTCAGAGAGGTGTACTGTTTTCCCTCCTTGTAAATCTCACATTTGATGATGGACCACAGGTTCTCAATGGGGTTCAGATCAGGTGAACAAGGAGGCCATGTCATTAGATTTTCTTCTTTTATACCCTTTCTTGCCAGCCACGCTGTGGAGTACTTGGACGCGTGTGATGGAGCATTGTCCTGCATGAAAATCATGTTTTTCTTGAAGGATGCAGACTTCTTCCTGTACCACTGCTTGAAGAAGGTGTCTTCCAGGAACTGGCAGTAGGACTGGGAGTTGAGCTTGACTCCATCCTCAACCCGAAAAGGCCCCACAAGCTCATCTTTGATGATACCAGCCCAAACCAGTACTCCACCTCCACCTTGCTGGCGTCTGAGTCGGACTGGAGCTCTCTGCCCTTTACCAATCCAGCCACGGGCCCATCCATCTGGCCCATCAAGACTCACTCTCATTTCATCAGTCCATAAAACCTTAGAAAAATCAGTCTTGAGATATTTCTTGGCCCAGTCTTGACGTTTCAGCTTGTGTGTCTTGTTCAGTGGTGGTCGTCTTTCAGCCTTTCTTACCTTGGCCATGTCTCTGAGTATTGCACACCTTGTGCTTTTGGGCACTCCAGTGATGTTGCAGCTCTGAAATATGGCCAAACTGGTGGCAAGTGGCATCGTGGCAGCTGCACGCTTGACTTTTCTCAGTTCATGGGCAGTTATTTTGTGCCTTGGTTTTTCCACACGCTTCTTGCGACCCTGTTGACTATTTTGAATGAAACGCTTGATTGTTCGATGATCATGCTTCAGAAGCTTTGCAATTTTAAGAGTGCTGCATCCCTCTGCAAGATATCTCACTATTTTTGACTTTTCTGAGCCTGTCAAGTCCTTCTTTTGACCCATTTTGCCAAAGGAAAGGAAGTTGCCTAATAATTATGCACACCTGATATAGGGTGTTGATGTCATTAGACCACACCCCTTCTCATTACAGAGATGCACATCACCTAATATGCTTAATTGGTAGTAGGCTTTCGAGCCTATACAGCTTGGAGTAAGACAACATGCATAAAGAGGATGATGTGGTCAAAATACTCATTTGCCTAATAATTCTGCACTCCCTGTACAGTCTTACATGGTTATGGTACTGTGTTCCATGAATCTCACAAATGGACTGCATGATGCCATAATCTAACCATTTGTTGCATGTCACACAATCATCCATAGTTATATCTGAAAATGTGGGTAAGAAAAATCCTGAAAATATATCATATATTACATATTCTACTGTCCACTAAGTCCTGGGAAGGAGCCTCTTAATTGTACTGCAGACAATAAAATTTAAGATCAGTGATTCGCTACAATGTTCTATGTATTGTGGTCAGGAGCCTGTGACCTGAAGAACATGGAATGCAACCAGTGGGGAATCATGAAAATAGAATGGGTAACCAATTATGGTTCCCGATGCTTTTTTAGATGCCTTGGCGCTTTCAACCTTGCTGCAACTGTTTGGAGAAAACCTTACCCTACATCACAGTGGCCAAAGGGAGGTCCATGCGGAAATTGGTTGGCCTGAGCAGAATCTTGACCTTGGCCTCATTAAAATCCATTGAAATGGTACCAAACGTACAAAGCTATCAACAAATATAAATACTCATCCTTAACTTGTATTAGAAATCTCCCAAAAAGAATGAAGGCTACAGTGTGACCAACTCTAAACTAATACGCATGATTCTGGAACGAGACATTTGGCAAGCAGGATTCCATGTTCTTTCTACGTTTCTATGGACATGCATAGAATGCCTTCTGAAAAGCACTCAATAGTCTAGAACAGTTTTAAGTTATTTAGTTAAGTTACTATATCAGTTAAAAAATATTATTTTTTTATCACACTTTTCAAATATTAAGTAAATCTAGCATGTCTCGCACATTACTTGTTATTGGTACCATGTAAATATTTGTGCCTAATGCATGGATTATTGGGTACTACGTAATTTGTGCTTAATGCATGGATAATGTTGTGTTATGTTGTATACCCGTGTTATTTTTATTTCATTTTATTTATTTACGTTATATTTTCTACATGTGATTGTTGTATTTTATGAAGCCTTTTATGTTGTGGCTTTATTATTATTTAATAAATGCTGTATGAAACTATTTTGAAGTAGCTAAACTATTCAAATCAAATTAGCATATATAACATTCTTAATTCATTCTTAATGTTTTCTTATTTTAATCACTTATGTTATATCAGCTGAGGTCTTCTAGGATTTTAAAAAGGCTTCCTCCTTGCCCTTGATTCAGCCATTTCCCTAGTAAACATCACATGCACATCAAAACAATTACTGACTGGGAGACTACACATTGTTTTAGATTTTTTTTAAACTATTTTGAGCGTAAGGTCCCTTGAAATAAAAACAATACAAATTTTTAATGATGACACCTAATGTACTCTTGTACTAGCTATTTGTAATTTTATATACAGCAGTTATTTTTCTTTTTTTTTTCTTTTTCAAATCTATCGATAAAAAGAATAACACAGTAGAATGAAAAGACCTGTTTAATGCTTTGCATTTTTTTTCTTATTTATTGTAACTTATTTAACAAATATGCACTCAGGGGCTAAAGACATCAAATTAAGTAGCCACTTTAGGTAATTAGGATCACTCTCTATGTCTTTTATTGGATTATATGTCCCCTGTCACTCATCTATTTGAATAGATTTCCCAGCTACGAAAAAGACAAATCGCATATATATTATATAGAAATTTAATTTTTTCTTCAAAATTCTTACCACAATAAAATGCTAATAATTTATTCTACATTGTTGCCATTGCATCCCCTCCACTACAAATAATTTACTAGGTGATCGTTAGTGATTTCCCTTAACCCCTTAAGGACACAACTTCAGAAATAGAAAGGAATCATGACGGAATAGTTCCGTCATGTATCCTTAAGGGGTTAAGATTTTGAATGCCAGAGGGTCACGTAAGACTTTTGGATAGTGTGAGGTTGTGTACATTGTGTCATTATCTGTAAATCTCACTGTAATCATTCTTACAGGAACAAGGTTTTAAGACTTTCTAGTGGGCTTGATGATTTGGGCTCTGTAAACTGGGAGCTGCTCCTCTGTCTGCTGGGGTGCTGGTTGTTGGTGTACTTTTGTGTCTGGAAAGGCGTCAAGTCAACAGGAAAGGTACGGAAACTTCCAGTACTAATTATGGGTAAATTCTCTTGCAAAAATCCGGTAGTATTGTGCCGGGAGTAACGTTGCAGGATCCATGTTCGCTATCTTTTCCCTGTGCTATAACATAATATGTCAGTGCACAATGTAGTTTAGCAGAGCTGGCCAAGTCGTAGTAATGAAATTAACCCTTTCTAACCCCGTAATAGGGTTCCCGTATGTCTCGACTTCCAAAGATAAGGTTGTGGTGGCAAAAGAGTGGGGTTATTTATATTGTATAGAATGTAAAACTCATTCCTGAAGGGTCCTTAGTAACTCTCTGTTTCTTCTTAATACTTGTAATCGTTTGTTTCTTGTTTATCCTCCTCATTAAAATGGTAAATAGTTCAGTAGTGACCAGGGCCCCTAAAATGTCTAGATTCCTCATCAACTTGTTACAGCACTACAGCTAAAATCATTGGTAGTTTCATCAACTTTTTCTCTCTGTAGGCAATACACATATATTTATTGAGAATTGTAATATTACGAAGTACAGATTAGCGCAGATCAGAATAGTTTCTCTAAAAATCGGATATAAATACAATATTATGATTTGCGTGGCAAGACCATACAGAATAGAGTTATAATTGATTAAAGGAACACTATACTCACTTAAATTACTTTAGCTAAATAAAGCAGTTTAGTGTATAGATCATTCCCCTGCTCAATCCACTGTCATTTAGGAGTTAAATCACTTTGTTTCTGTTTATGCAGCCCTAGCCACACCTCCCCTGGCTATGATTGATAGAGCCTGCATGAAAAAAAAAACTGGTTTCACTTTCAAACAGATGTAATTTACCTTAAATAAATGTATCTCAATCTCTAAATTGAACTTTAATCACATACAGGAGGCTCTTGCAGGGTCTAGCAAGCTATTAACATAGCAGGGGATAAGAAAATCTTAATTAAACAGAACTTGCAATAAAGAAAGGATAAATAGGAAGTGTTTATGGAAGGCTGTGCAAGTCACATGTAGGGAGGTGTGACAAGGGTTCATAAACAAAGGGATTTAACTCCTAAATGGCAGAGGATTGAGCAGTGAGGCTGCAGGGGCATATTCTATACACCAAAACTGCTTCATTAAGCTAAAGTTGTTCAGGTGACTATAGTGTCCCTTTAAGTCTAAGATAATTATGGCTGACCTTTGCACAGAATTTATTGTGAACGTTATATTCTACAGTGCACAGGAAATACCACTGCTAGTCACTGGTTTATGGGATAGCTTTGTTCGCTTTACAATGTGAAGATTGGGTTTTACAGCAGTGCTATCGATGATAAGACATTTCTGGCACACAAGGCGTTAACAGGGACTTTGAACTCTCACGAGTCACTTCCCTCGGCTGCACTTTGCGGATAAAATGTAAATGAGATACTGGAAAATTCCACTGCATGATATATGGACTTAACCATTCAAAAGGCTTTTTAGATCATTTGGAAAAGATATGAAAGTAATCACAACCCATTCTGTTACTAACTGGCAGAATTAACCCTTTAAGGACAGATGGTGTGCCAAGGTTGTTAAGAAATAGTTAGGTTTGCCTTATTTTTTTGTCACGGTGTCCTACATGTTCCACCAGAGTATTTAGTGTTTGGAGGGGAGTAATGATCACATAATAATGCAGGCAGTCCCTGGGTGTTTGGGGATCGCTTACAATAAGTGGTGCGCTTTCTGAATGACAGTTCTCAATGCACTTGTTTGTGCATAGCATGCCACCAATGTAGGGCAATACATGTTCGGGCTCCTTTCGGCCTACATTTAAAGAAGAGTGTTGTGAATTTTATAATTTTCAATTTCATATGGCTGTGGAGTGTAGCACAGGCCCCCTTGAAACCAAAGAGGTAAAATAAACTGTTGGTTCAGAGCACATCTTCCTCACTTGTTTATACATTCCTTGGGCAAATTCTATCTTGAACTTGGCCATTGCATGATTTAATTTTTATTGACATTGGTTACACTAAGTGTTAATTGTCGAGAATTCAGTTTTAAAATATAAAAGTTTAAAATGGCAAATTTAGGCCCGAAATTGCCAAACTGAAAAACAATCTCGGTAAGTTTGCAATGCTTTAAGTTTAGCTATTTTGGCCAACAGCAGATGAGGTTACACAAAAAAATAAATAAAAAATGAATAAAAAACTAGCGATTTGTCAAATTTTTCAAATGTCGTTTTTGGTTACATTTGGGGAGGGAGTAAACGCATTTGGCTCAGCAACAGTTAAACAATAGGAGTGAATAAAGAATGATGGAGGAGGTTTGGGGAGTGCCCTTGAAATATCCTTGACAGTTCTTGATCCCATTCATCAGTTCAACCTCTCTTGGTGAGACAGAACTATTAGTACTCAGGACTAACGAGATAAGATTTAAATCCAAGATGCTGCGGTTGAGTTAAGGAAATGCTAATCATGGAGGTCATTCTCTAAAAAAATAATTGAAAACCAAATAGCAAATTTTAGGACCAATTGGCTGTAATGGAAATCCAAATTTTCAATTTAGTTTTTTAGTTCCTCAAAATTCACTGTTTAGTGAGTACATTCCTTGGTCTCCGTTTTTTGTTTTTGTTTTTGTTTTTGTTTTTTAATTGGAACATTTTGTTTCGTTGTATCATGTTGCTAAGTCATCACCTCGAGGATTTTTCACAATCACATGTCTTCATAATAATCCAACCTCTGGTAACAAACAACCCAAACAAGGCGAAAGCTGTTATCACTCTGAAAAATAATACAAGCATATTATAAACTGGTCTACAGTGCACTTTTTGAATGAATATGTAGTTGTTTACGTGCTTGGAAAAGCTTATTTTTTTATTTTTTAAATTCTTGATTTTGTTATGACAGAAGGCATAATTATAAACAAAAAAAAATCAAGGCTTGTGCAAAAGCCATCTTAAGATGCATTATCTTATTGTACATTTACAGTGTATGAGTACAGAATAAAAAATTGGGTAAGTTGTTGCACACATTATGTTTGCGGGAAGTGTGGCGTCTCGTTGGTGGTCTGTCAAGGGTTTCCAACGTCCAGGTGGTGTTGGAGTAGAAGGGTGGTGGGGTGTCGGTGCGCGCCTGGGGGGGTATGTGGGTAGTAAGCTTTTCTCGGCAGGTGGTCTAGTCGGTGTTCCGGTCGTGCCGGTTGCGGTTTGGTGTGGGGATGTAGCGTATACCTATTGCTGGAAAAGCTTTTTAATAACTAATGACACTTGGAGAGAATTCAACATGATTATCTCCATTGGGCAACATTTAAAAAAAGAATATCTGCCCATTCATGCTGCATGTTCACAGAATTTCCCCCAAATCTCCCTTTCTATCCTCTGTCATTCTTCATAATATCCATGTATATACGACATGACTCCTAATTACGCCTCTGTTGAATGTCCCTCCGTTGTCATTTTTTCAGACTGAAAAATTCTTTCCCCTTTTTTCTTAACCCGGAGTTTGCAATTTCTCTGAACTCAGGATACGAGTTTATCTTAGGACTCCGTGGCTATAAAACTCACAGTGGTGTTTGTTTAGACTCTGCTAAGTGTGCATGTAAATTAACTTGTGTATATAAAATTATATGGCTTATAGCCATTTAGAATGCTGTTCTTCAACATGAAGAATTGCTAAACTATTCCAGCGATAGTTCTAAAACATTAGACCAACCTTATTCACTAAAGTGAGAATTAATTCAAAGTTCAAAGGGCATTCATAATTAATTTAACTGAACTGTCCCTTTAGAATTGTAAACCAATACGAGGCATGTGAAATAACTTTTTTCCAAAATAGCCGAATTGGATACTCTGCATCCAATTTGGCTATTTTTAACCTTAAATTTTAAATACACTTGGAATTGACATGGAATTCCTGAAAAGTCCTACTTTATTGAATAAGCCTGTTATCATATTCAGAGCCTTTGATTTTAAGATACTGGCTGATAGTCAGATGATTGATTTATGTAGGTTGACAGCTTGATGCATTTGTACATCAATATTGGATTTCACTGTCCCTTTAACGAGCGGGCCTGTTGACTCTACTCGTCACGTATAACATTCTCACTGGCTGAAATCGACTAGTGTAGTCATGAGTTGGTTTTACGCAGAACATGTAATGCGCTGTGCGTGAATGGTGATTATTGGGCTGCGTATCTCGTGTCCTCTACGTGGATAGCGATCACGTCTGCTGTAGACAATGCTGTAGACCTCCCAGCTTGTGCTTATGCTTAGCACTTGCATATCCATGAATGGGAGATAAGGATTACTGCAACCTCATCAGCCTCTGACAAATCTAGGCCATTGTCTCTAAAGCCTCTTGGCTGTGAGCACACTGCTTATTCAGTCAGTCCATTTTCCAGCCAATGACCTATAAAGAGGCTGGCTAGCAGGGCTAGTGACACTTTTTAGATTACAGACGACAGAAGGAGGTGGAAGAGTGGGAAAGATGAACGTAATGTTATGAATGAAGCTTGTGGAGCACAGCTCCCACTCTGAGACATTGTTCCCCGCTGATTGTGGTATTTCTGGACCATAGGAATGTTCACAAAGAATGGGGTCAGATGGAAGAGGCAAGGCTTGAATGGAACATGATGAGATATTATGTTAGAGAAATTAATTTCACATGACCCGTAATGGTTTACAATGTTAAAGGGACAGGAATGCTGCAACTTGTGCTCACTTAATATAAAGGAATACATTTATTTAGAGAAATCATTAAGTATGTGCACTCATTAAATTTTTGAGGGAAAAGCTGTTTTTCACTTTTATACTCCTGTGCTAATACTTGTCGATCACTTTGGGGACCTTTCACTATGTATATTTTTGTATGTGTTTTAGATTTTTGTTTGCTACTACATAAATTATAAAACCTTTCGTTTTATCTGAACACTCTCAGTGGGAGGGCATATTACCCCCGATAACTTTCCTACATTCAATTTAATAGAGCTATATTTGAGCAGATGTCCCTTTTCATTCGCAGACTACGATAATGAAAATATTTTTAGCATTTCCTTAAATAGGAAACTATTTACAGTGTGCTAAGATATTTCTTTCTGAATGCGTAGTTTATAAGCCAACTGCCATACAATCAATAATATGTTTTCAGGGGCCGAAGCCAACCAGTAGTTCCCCATTTATATAAAAATAAGCTTGCATCGAGTACGTACCTTTTTATGAATGTGGAGCTACTGATTTTATGCTGCCAGAACAATTCTAATTTTAAAGGTCCTTTGGTTTCTTAACTCATCTTTTAATTTCTATATTTCAGATTGTCTACTTTACTGCCACGTTCCCATACGTGGTTCTTCTCATACTTCTTGTCCGTGGTGCTATGTTGCCAGGAGCTGGAGAAGGTATCATTTACTACCTGAAGCCTGATTGGTCAAAGCTTGGGAGTGCTCAGGTAGGAGCCTATAGGCAAGATTTAAATCATGTAGAAATCCAGAACTTTTCTTCCCAAAATGGTTTAGAGCATGCTCTTGGTTTCAACCAGATTATTGATTGATGTTAAATTATCCATCTGAACTGATTGTTAATTGTTATGTCCCATCTTAATAGTTCTTTTTCAATCAACCACGGAAAGATGAATAGTCTTAATGAAGTCTTGGGGTCTCGGGTCTGAATGTCAAGAGACATGGCAATTGGCCAACTGAGCTATTTCTATGAGTTGTTCCTTTTATGTTTCTTTGCGTGGCTGTTATAATTAAATCAGAAAGTCATACATACATTTTTTTAAAAGGATTAAATTATATCCCACTTTTAGTCCTGTGTGGAGATGACACCATGGTGCTTGATAACCAAGGCAAGGGGCATGCAAACCAAATAACACCCAGCAAAGTAGGGTTATCGAGCTCTCTTCATGGGAGGGTTCTACTGCTGTGTGACACATCTTGCTCATACCTCCTCTAGCACCACCTGCTACTCACCTAGCCATCACTACCATATTGCCTGTTGTGGTTAATAGACAGGTGTGTGGAGCCCTTAGACAATGTCCTATGTTGACTAGAAGTAAATAAAATGTATATTTTGGACAGTGTTTCACATGTAAATTATAGATGTCTTTTTTTGTTTTTGTTTTAAAAGAGTAACAAATTGGTACATGTAGCCATTGATTATCAGGTTAAAAGAATAAACCATAGTTGTTTTGCCCATTCTTTAGCTACCAAGAATGGATTTCTGAACACTTTGTAATCTGCCTCTTATCTCATGGTCTAGGTGTGGATCGATGCTGGCACTCAAATTTTCTTCTCCTACGCCATAGGACTTGGAGCTCTAACAGCCCTGGGCAGCTATAACCGCTTCAACAATGACTGCTACAAGTAAGAGGCAGCTGTTTAAGCAAACATATTTAGACTAGGTTTTACCACATAAAATACAGTTATGCAACTTTTACCTAGCATTGGCATCAGTAACATTTCCTGTGGCTTTGAGTTACTCCTGGAAGGGGCATCTGGTACACAGATTGCCAGTGATCCAGTTTATTTCGGAAAGAGGGACTAAGATCCCTCTCAATCTTAGATGGCTATGTATGCCTTGAAAATACTTTGCGGTACATCTGAATCAAAATCTAGAACATTAGAGATTGTCTCTACGTAGACTAGAATACTCAGTGGCTTTGGTTCCATGATTCCGGCATGAGAATCCAAAGGCCTTAGCCAATAACAATGATGTGTGAACATAAGAAAGATTGGCAGATGGTATGATATCTACAGAGAAGTATACATTAGCAAAGCCTAAAAAAGACATACTGAGCTACAACTCTTTAACAGTTTTTGATGTGATTTAATATCAAATTTTTCCTTTATCATTCTAAAAATCATTCTTTGTTGCATTACCATATCTATTTAACTATTCCTTTTATTTCAATAGACGGCATATCTTCTAAACAAGGAGCTTAACATAATTTTACCACGTAGTTAAGCCCGTAATTTATCACTGTTGCGTCATACAAGCCTCATCGGCTATTTATATCATAGAAAATGTATAGTATTCAATCACATTAAGACTCTCTTTGTCAAAGCAGGTCTCAGGTCTCCTTTATGGTGAACTATTTTATAAAACCTTTATTAAGTAAGGATAGATTTTAGTTACTCTCCTGGTAGACTCTGTTACTTAGATAAATACCAGTGAAATCATCAGCTTATAAGGAATCCTCCTCCTGGGACCCAAGAAATCAACAGCTTCAGTGTACAAAAACCAGTAATAAAAATATGACTCACTCTGTCTTTGTAGACAATATAAATTTCATAGAATTAACACTTTGTGATTTATTTTCCTGAGTCAGTGATTGAGTTCTAAAGTGCTGTGTAAATTTGGAACCTATATCATCTTGGCCTTGTATGAGATATTTATCCATCTCAACTATATTGGCCTAAATGTAACCGTTTATTGAATAAGACCCTTGTTAGTGCCGATGTGGTGAGATGAGCAAAATAAATCCACAGCATTAAGATATGTTGATTTGTTTTGTTTTTCTAGGTAAAAATCCCATGAACCTTTTACCACTTTTTATTTATTTTAAATAAAATTGCTATATGATATGTAGTGTGGAGCAAATGACAGAAGAACAATCTGTTCGTAGCAATGTGGATTTTGAAGGGATGGCCACTTTAAGAAGCTCAGCTACTGGGCTCTTGACAACCCTGTGAACGAGAGAAATTAATGTCTGGCTAAGAGCAGCTGCTGTAAGCAGAGCCCTATGAGGCAGTAGGGCATGACACCTCGCTCAGCTGCTGTGGACAACACCAAGGATCATGTTCTGTTTTCATTTATAGGCTAGAGTGCTGTGACCATGGAAGGCAAAGGGGGTTCTTGTTGGGCTATAGTCTTTCTTTCCCTTCACATTCCGTCCCCATGCTTGGTGGTCAGATCTCTGCATCTCTTATTTTTCCTGTATTTAACCCTGTGACTGCTATGTGGTAATCAATGTATGCCTCTTATGGTGTGTTGCATAGCTAAAGGGTCATTTTAAGTTCCATAGAAAGTTAAAGCGGCACTGTCACCATTTGGGGACTTTTCCAAATTCGCCAAGTACCCTAATGGTAACATCACCGCTGGGGGTCCGGTGGCCGAGGGGAGCAGGTAAAGGTGAGTTCTACTTACCTAAACCTGACACTCGCGGGTCCAACTATATTGGTCCGGCGTGGTCCTCCTCAGTGCTGACACCACTGCTGTGCACTCGCTCATGCGCAAGAGTACAGCATCCATGGGGTCTTGGGATCTTTCATAGACACAGCCAATTCCGTGCAGCTGTCACTGTTGACAGCTGCAGAGACTGACACTTCGACTCTGCCTTGTTTCAAAGAAAGTCAGGCGTAAGATTCTATCTTTATGAAATAGTCAATTTTCATAGGGGATGACAGTGCCGCATTACCAATGTTGCATCATTGCACCCATCCTCCTATCTGTGAGTGGCTTACAACTACAGCAAACTATAGAACATGTTGCCACTACTACTATAAGACAGCCCTCTGGAGCTGTCAATTAGTCAGACAGAATTCTATCTTCCAGGATGACTGTATCAGTTTTGTCCAAATGGTGTGAATGGAATGCACATGCTACACAACTTAAATTGAGATCTGTTTTCCACATGGACTGTGCCAAGCCGCAGTTCGTGTATACCTTTAGGTTTACTAAACCATTAACCCACTTTTTTTAACAGATAGCAGCCATGGTATGGCTGCTATATACGTTTATAGAACAGTTCCATTCATCCTATGATCTTGCTGGAGATGATTTTATAGTATAAGAGAAGACCCCTTAGAACATAATAAGAGACTCAAGATTGGTGACCCATTTCAAGGTCAAGGAGGAATTTGTTTGCTGTAGACAAGGTGAGTTATATGTACAAGAACCTGTCCTTCACGGACTCCACCGTGCTGTTCCTGCCGGTCCTCTTCAGCTCATGGTACTTTAGCTGCCCGGAGCCCAAGTCAGCATTGTAATCTCATGCGCGAGAGTACAGCACTGGGGAGTACAGAGGAACCCACCGACCCGCAAAACATTAGTGACTACTGAGGTTTGACAAAAGGGAGTACTGCCTTTTTGTCAGGCTTGCCAAGTGTAGGAAAAATACTAAGAAAAGGTAGTCCCAACTTTGTCTCTCTTTTGCCTGAGCTGAAATTTCAGTGAAGTTCCAACACAATTAATGTGAGTATTTAATAAAAATGTTATCTTTATCAAATACTCATTTTGGAAGGGGGGTAGTTGACCGTGCCACTTCAAGGTGTAGCAGGTTTTTTTGCCAATCTTTCCCATCAAAACTGGGCACAGCATCGTAGATAGAAGTCACAACTATAATGCAAAGCTGCTGTAAGAACATATTCTGTTCTCCACATTCAGCTCGTTTTTCATAGACTTTTCATTTTTCTGATACCTGGCCCATGCACTTACCACCATCATCATTGTGCCTAATCTCTAATGGGTACATTGATGTACTGTGGGTTCCAGTAGACAGGCGCCTTTAGTTCCATAAATAATTCTCGTGTACAGGATGTGCTTTGAATCCACAAGAGCTGCAGCCAAATTTATGTGACGGTTCTAATCTCTAGAGTATATTTATGGTAGGCCCCCCACATGGTTAATGAGATGTTGTCACCACTGTCTTATGTTAAGAGAAGGTTACAGTATAAATGAAAGAATGATTCAATGCACCTTGCCTTTCTCAGCTTCACTAGTCCTTCTCCTAGCAACCCTACTCAGCAAATATTAGCTTGAATAAACAAGTCCATAGGTTTGCCATGGTATCAAACATGCATTATATGCTTCTTGTTGTAGATATGTGAAGTTTATAATATGTTTCTGCTTGAGAGCAATGAATGCACTTAGAGTTGACAGGTTGGCGACAAATTTAATAAACTTTTCCGCTTCCTGTGTTCTCCTATAGATCTTGGTGATAATATATACAGATATATTAACATGAATATCCCAGGAGCTACAGCGTTTTTTTTCTTCTTTATTTAAAGTTTTAGACATTTTAACATTTCTACTTTATAACTGGAGAAACAGATCTGCTACTTTTTACATCTTAGCATCCAATGTAAAAATGCTAAATCGCTTTCCACATCAGTTTGCACTTTAAAAAGTTTAAAATGTATGAGTTAAAAACAAAACAAAAGAAAAGCAACCTAAAAATGCACAAATTTAATAACCATCCCCATACCAGATATTTTAATGACCTAAATATACAATATATACTTAAAGGGTTGCTCCAAACACCATCACCACTTCATAGATTTGAAGTGGTCATGGTGCCTGGAGTCTGTATATGCAGAGTTTCACTTTGAAACACTGCACATACAAGGATTAAACCCTCTGCTGACAGAGATGTAACTCAGAGATGTAACTGCGCCAACAACAGCGTTTTATGAGTCTCATTAGCTTAAAGGATCACTATAGGGTCACGAACACAAACATGTATTCCTGACCCTATAGTGTTAACACCACCATCTAGCCCCCCTGGGCCCCTCATGCCTTCATAAATATAGTAAAATCTTACTGTATTCAAGCCTGATGCTGTAACTCTGCATGCTGTTAGACTCAGAAAAACAAGCAGTCTGCTGACATCATCAGAAGTGGTAGCCTGATCCAATCACAATGCTTCCCCATAGGATTGGCTGACACTGATCAGGGGCAGAGCCAGCATGATTCAAACACAGCCCTGGCCAATCAGCATTTCCTCATAAAGAAGAATTTAATCAATGAATCTCTATGAGGAAAGTTCAGTGTCTGCGTGCAGAGGGAGGAGACACTGAATGTTTGGATACATTTTAGGCAGGCATGACCCAGGAAGGATCTCGAACAGCCATCTGAGGAGTGGCCAGTGAAGTTATCACTAGGCTGTAATGTAAACACTGCATTTTCTCTGAAAAGACAGTGGTTACAGCAAAAAGCCTGAAGGTAATGATTCTACTAACCAGAACAAATTCAATAAGCTGTAGTTGTTCTGGGGACTATAGTGTCCCTTTAATGTCAATTATGGGCAACTTTTAGAATTTCGCTCTTTGGTCAGCAGACGCTTCCAGCTTCTGCAGCTCCGCAGAATCCATAAACATGTCACTAGACCATCAGGGAGCATCAGAACCCAGCAGAGAGCAGTAAGAGGGTAAACTGTTACTAAATGGTTTCCCAAATTGCTGAGTAACCAGGCCAGGAGTACCTCATAAGCTCTACAGAGGGCTGTAGTGGTTATGGTGCTTGGAGTATCCCTTTAATAGTCTTTTCAGGCCAACTGCAGAGTCCTGCTTACAAAAATTCGAACAGTTGGCCATCTTGAGCTTATTTGAGCAGGGCTTTCCTCACCTCTTTGTTCGGTCTACTTTATTTAATTTGTCAATGACCTGCTGTTTTAAATTTTGTAAATAATGTAGAATAAGTTGGCACTGCATTAGTGATGGTGACATAATAATAATAATAGTGTTCATGTAAGCTTTTGAGAGTGCAGTCTTGTGCTTAATCTTGTGCTTAAGTCATGTGATGTTTGCTTTACGAGACTTAAAACATCCCGGTGATGACGCAGATATCATCTGCAGCTCAATGTAAAAATAAGAAGAAATAAGTAATTATAACAACCTCTTTTCTCTCTTGTTTTCCAGGGATGCCTTCGTACTTGCACTGATTAATAGTGGGACCAGTTTCTTTGCCGGATTTGTGGTTTTCTCCATCCTGGGCTTTATGGCAAATGAGCAGGGGGTACACATATCAAAAGTGGCTGAATCGGGTAGGTATCTGCTGTTAACTAAAGGTTGATGGGCAGTGAATGGGTGCCCTTTTAGTCCTGATAGAATTATTTTTATGTTGCTTTGTCCTGGGTCTTCTGGTATATTGATCTTTTTTTCTTTATATAGGTCCAGGCTTGGCTTTCATCGCATATCCACGAGCAGTGAGCTTGATGCCAGTGGCCCCCCTCTGGTCAGCTCTGTTCTTCTTCATGCTGCTGCTTTTAGGCTTGGACAGCCAGGTAGAGTTTCTGTTGTTCTAATTATTTTGGACAGGAAGTGGGTAGCCTCTACTTAAAGTTGGAAAACTCTGGCAGTTTTATGGTCAGCTAGATGACTTTTACATGACAGTTCCCTGGTTCCAAACCCTGAAATAACTAAATCAATTCCTATCTACTGGGGTTCTAGATTAAAGAGGAATTAACAGAGTCAAGTGCGTTGCTAGGTGTACTTAGAAAACAGAAATCAAAATGGGACAGTGTTTGAGAGGTTTTAATATATATATTTTTAAATAAATGTACCATATGACTTGATCTTGATAAGGTTATGTTCCTGGTTTGGTTTTTTTCAGTTTGTTGGTGTGGAAGGTTTCATAACCGCCATTCTTGACATGCTGCCTGCCCGCTATTATTTCCGTTTCCAGAGGGAAGTCGCTGTGGCCATTTGCTGTTTCGTCATGTTCCTTATTGACATCTCTATGTTAACAGAGGTAAGCTGAACAAAATCACTGTCATAATCTGAAAGCATGTTTCCCAACTCATTGAAGACTCAATCCAATACAATAGAGAGGGATTTACTACAGGTATCACATATTTTGACAGCCAGCTTGCAGAGTGCCCGGAACACTCTAGGGTATGGCTGGGCAAAAGGTAGATCCCCAGATGTTCTAGAACTACAATTGTCATGATGCTTGCATTTAGATTGTTAACGCATTGTGGGACCTGCAGTTCTACAACATCTAGGGATCTTATGTTTATCCACCCCAGATCTGGGGCAGGCTAAGCATTTACATGATAAACTTGTGCTTGTAAAATTGCATTTTCAAGTGCTATCTAGTGCCTCTAGGAATTTTAACACATTAAAACAGACCCAAACAGTAGAACACAGATTCAACCTACTAGATCCTCGAATGGAACAGAACCTAGATCTTGCTAGATCCTAGAATAGAACAGAGGCTAGATCCTGCTAGAGCCTAGAATGGAACAGAGGCTAGATCCTGCTAGATCCTAGAATGGAACAGAACCTAGATCCTGTTAGATCCAAGAATGGAACAGAACCTAGAACCTGCTAGATCCTAGAATAGAACGGAACCAAGATCCTGCTAGATCCTAGAATGGAACAGAACCTAGATCCTGCTAGATCCTAGAATAGAACAGAGGCTTGAACCTGCTAGATCCTAAATTGGAGCAGAACCTAGATCCTGCTAGATCTTAGATCGGAACAGAACCTAGATCCTGCTAGATCCTAGAATGGAAAAGAGACTGGAACCTGCTAGGTCCTAGAATGAAACAGAACCCAGATCCTGCTAGAACCTAGAAAGGAACAGAGGCTAGAACCTAGATGGAACAGAATCCTATATCATTTATCAATACATTCCTTTACCAAGATAGCTGTGATCATGTAAAGTGAACGTTTCCAAATTATCTTCAGTGCTTAATTCTTACTGTAAGATTGGTGCATACCCTACTGAACTAAGATCACTTTAGCTGAACAAATTTGTATATTGTGTATTTGTGGATTGTAGCTATTAGTAATTAAACAGTGGAAATTAAATCTTGGAGGATACAACAAACTAGAGTATCTTTGTAAGTTGTATACTCCATTATTCTTATTTATTGTTTTAGCATAAAATACAAATGAAATACAAAAGTAATTTTGATTTAATCAAACCATTCTATTTTAAGGCACTGTCGTAGGCTATCTCCATTAGGCACACTTGATAAAACATCTGGATGCTGATGTTAGTTATGTCTACATTCAAAAGGGTGTTTAAATAACATTAAAAGGTATTTGTGTTTCCCTGCAGGGCGGGATGTACATCTTCCAACTTTTCGATTATTATTCTGCCAGCGGAATGACCCTCCTTTGGCAAACCTTCTGGCAGTGTGTGGTCATTGCCTGGGTGTATGGTAAGTTTTTAAGCACTGTGGGACAGGAACCTCCGATCTTTATGTGTAACGGTATTGTTCCTACTTATAACATTTGTATAATCAATGTAAAGCTTTATCTACCTTATGCAATACAACCATTGTACATGTTATATACAATGCGGCGTTTGATTTATAGCAAATTATTCAATATTATAATCCCGAACCAATATACATATCTACTTCCTGCTGAAATTCTACAATAGACTAATTGGTTGTAAATTAACGACACAACGGTATTCACTTACAAACAAGTGGATATTCCATAAACACAGCTTAATGGTCAGTAAGATTATGACATTGCTGTTGGCAGCAGTACAATCCAATCCAATATTTCATAATTGACCTCCAGTCTATATGCATTCATATTTTGCTCACCACTCTCTCTTGGCCCTTGTTCCATCCCGTAGGACCTCCTCCACGACCAACACTACCAAAGCTAGTTTTAAGGGTCTCCTGACACTTCCTGTTCTTATTTTCAATTCTTTACTCAGAATCAGGACAAAGGCTTACGTTTAATATTTTTGGATACGTTTTTCTGTAGATAAAACAGATTGTGATCATTTCAAAAACTCATCCAAAACAAGTAAATCAAGTCCAATTGTAGATTGTACATCAAAACAATACAAAATCAATAAACCAGAAAACATGCATAGGAAAGGGAAGAGACCATGTCTTTTAATGCTGCTTGGGGACAGATGTGGATATGAAGTCCTTGGGGTCTAATAGGGGATGAAAGCGCTCTCTGTCATTGATGGCACCAATCCAAATTCCACATTTCTTTGTGTGACCTTTCATACGGAGAGGACCTAAATATGACGTCATTTCCCTGCATTCTTCAGCCTGAGCAGTATTATTAAATATTATATAAATCGATGGCATCTCAGAGATCATTTCCCCAAATAAATCATGAAGAGAGAACAGAACTGCAATGTCTACATTTATCTCAAGCCCGTCATTATTGCTGGGCTGTGGAGGGGGTGGGGAACGTGCTCCTTTTGGAAACTGATTATTAAATCAGAAATAAAGGACAGCATTCAGGAACTGTGCTCACTGAGCTGAGCTCTTTAAATGCCCTTACAATTTGCTTTGCAGTAGATGCACTATGAAAGTTACCTCTGAAACCTTGACCTTCTGACGGTGACTATAGCTATGAATAAGGACATTGTCAAGGTTATTGAATGAAGTGAGCATTCAAAGTGAATTTTAAACTTAAGGTCAAAATAGCTGCACTGGAAAATTTCTCTAATCCAGCAATAATTTCAGTTCACCTACTCTAGCCTTGAATTTGAAATTCTCTTTGAAGTCTCAGTTTAGTAAATAGTCCTGTGTGTCTGGTGTCTTATGGAGGGGAGGGTGAAATTATGATCTAACATTGAACATGTGTTGAATCATTGGGTGAGAATTATCAGAGGGTACTGTTCTGAAATGAAACAAAGTACTAAAAGAGGGACAATCATCATGAAAACAATCAATTGGTGACACTTTGTAGAAAAGAACACTTTGATAAATACACTCCATTGTCCCACGCATTCTGCATAACTCCATTTCTTAATGAATTGCAGTGCCTGTCACTCTGAGCCAGAATCGTGATGATGGGGGGAGTTGGAGTGCAGAAACTGCTTTTGAGAAATGTTGCCATGCTCCTAAACATTGTCTTTCAGAGAATTGCACATGCTCTCACAAATACCAGGTTAACATTTACATTATTAACCCTACAGGTGCTGATAGGTTCATGGATGATATTGCTCGTATGATTGGTTACCGCCCCTTCCCATGGATGAAGTGGTGCTGGTCTTTCATCACTCCTTTTGTTTGTATGGTAAGTCATAATTAAAATCTTCGTTCATGAGTAAAACGGCAACATGTGGCGTTGAGCTGTACAGTGAACATTTATAAAGGAGGATCTTTATCACAGTGCCATGCTCAGAAATATGGTATAGCATTCTAAAAGTAGGGCAATCACCATAGAAACAAGTGGAATCGTAACTAACATTCCACTGGTAATTACTCAATTTTTGCAACTTTCGTTGCAACACATTGATAAATCTCCCTCCAGTATAGAAATAGTTAAAGATTATAGATACCATTTCAGATACACTTGCGGAAAGAGAGAGTCAGCACATGTACACGGGGCTGTCATACCGTTTGACAAGCCATAAGGCTGCGATCAGTTTATAGAGCACGCCAGTTAATCCTAAAAGATGAAGGGAACTGCTTCTAAGGAACAAACTACTTATCCCATGAACATTTGAAGAATACCATATGTATAAATTATGATTTCTGTCTATATCATTTATTAAACACATTATTGTTTCCCTGTAATAGTAAGATGTGATGAATTGGCAAGTGGCCTACAAAGATTTTGACAAAAATATCTAACTTCAATAAAATTCTGCAGTTCCAATAGTTTACTTATCTGTTCTCCTAGTTCGGCTTATTTGGTCTAAGTTTTGCAAGCCTGTTGTTAACTCATCACAGTTCACTGTATAGCGAATAAATCCATTTATAACACAACCACAAAGTATCCAACGCTTCATCCTTGGGGAATCGCAGTTGATCAAGATATTCCCACACCAACAGCTGGGTCTGAACACTTGTCGCCTTGTCAATCCTCCGTGTCCCAGAAAGTAACAGACAATAAGCGATGTGAGATCTATTACTAGATTAGGGTGTTCCATGCGCGACGTCTGCAGACTGTACGCTTCTTGTGTGCTTTGTAAAAAAAAACAAGGCAAAAATAACAACTGGATACAAACCAGATTTAATAGATTGTACAATGAATTCATTCTTTAATCAGTTTTCCCTGTTTGCTGTAAACTGTTTATGTTTATGAATTACTGTCCCATTCCGTGAGATCAGACAATTTACGAAATTTCCAACGCAAATTTCGAAATGCTGGAAATATTTTGAAAATAGTGGTTGGAATTTCGAATGATTTGTAAACAAATTTGCAAAGATAACGTTATCGGAAGACTTTCTCTGCAAACTTAGGTAATTGATATTCTTCGAAACACAAACATTTCAACCGGTTGTAAATGGGAACGAAGCCTTGAGCAAAATATACCCACTTTTACCCACTGTGCTCTATCCTTGCAGTGCCGTGAAATACAACAAATAAAGTGGGTATATTTCATTCCCAAACTGCGTCCCATGATAGATTTGTTCAGGCCACCTTTCACCTTTGGGAGTACCGATTCTAATTTTCGTGTTCCTATGCAATCACATTGGGATAAATTGCTTCATAAAAAGTAGGATCATTTCGATGTCTAAACTGCAGTTACAAGGACACTCTTAGGAAGCCATAACTATTCCAGAGACCTGAATTAACCTTTAATAAAAACATGTTCACGTTGCTTACTAAGATGCGGTGCTACTGAAGAGGTCAGACATTCTGCCTAATAGCAGTGGGTTGGTGGCTGTACCCAGCCTTGGTTAATCGCCATTGACTTTCACTTGTCTATTTCAATGAATATTTCCTATTCTATAACACGCAGGTCTGCACGTATCTTTCTGTGTCTTGCTGCACCTCTCTGTCTGATACATGGCCATTGGATGAGAAATATAAACTAGCAGTAAACATGTACTAGTTATCAGGTTTTACATACCTGACTTCTCACATATTTGCACGCAAGCAGACACTTGACATGTATTAGCCTTCAGGCATTACATGCTACTTTGTCACATACACATGCACACATGCAGACACATGTAAAATCAAAAACGTGACGCACTCATGTCTAAAAATATATTTTTTGCATGTTACCCCCTGGTTTTTGCTAGCTCCATAGCAGATCTTGAAGAACTACTTTTAAGTATGCAACAACTACACTGTTATGTCGTGCCTAGACATTTCCCAAGCACCCTCCGGATTGTATTTTGAGTAATCATCATTAAAAGCGTGCATACCACCTATGTACTGCAACATACCTTTCTAGCTAATTATTCCCTACGTTTATTACTTACTTTCCCGCTGAGTCTTTGTTGCTTACTGTATTCTAATTAAATTTTAGTTTTTAGTTTGGTTTTTTTACTACAAAACCACAACGTGTAGATCTTATGTGCTGATTGTAAATCTACACTATAAATCATTTTTCTTTACCTTTGCAAAGCAATATCTGTGTTTCAATGCTTGCAGACACTGCAAACAGATCATTGTGTTTTGTTTAGTTTTTTTCAGTATATATGCTGGTATCCAAAATATACGGTATTCTACTGCTGATTATCCACCAAGATCAGAGTAGTTGATACAATTAAACCACAACGTATCTGATGGGTTTTTTTTATCCTGTTTGTGAACATGTGCCAGTGTGTCACATGCTGCTTGATGTTGTTATTGTGCTTTTCTGATCAGATGCCAATTTTCTCCTGTTCAGGCCATATTCATATTTAACCTTGTGAACTACAAGCCTTTGACTTACAACAAGACCTATATATACCCGTGGTGGGGTGAAGCCATCGGTTGGTGCTTTGCAATGTCCTCCATGCTGTGTGTCCCTGTCACCTTCCTATATAAAATCACACGTGCCAAAGGAACACTGAAAGAAGTAAGTGCCCCTAGCTTTCGTGACATTTACCAGGTTGGAGGCTGATTTTTCACTTGGTACATTTTCTCTTCTAATGATATTTTCACGTACGTTCACCACCACCTACGTGGAGAACAAACAAGGTTTTCTGGGCATGGTACGTGGGAGGATGTCTGGGATCAGCTTCTAGAAACTGTGCCAGGATCCCAAGGCAACCCACACTTACCTTGGGAATGTGAGGAGGCTTGCCTTGCAGAAACCAATCAGAATGTTGCCTTATGTTGTTCTGGCTGTTCTTACTGGGAAAATGTATTTGATGGTAATGCAAGTGATCAGTCAAAAAGTAGGACACGCACAAACGGCTTACAAAAAAATGTGTGTATGTTTGTTTTTTTAAGAGACATTCTTTAACCTGTACACATTTTTTCCTAACTGCGATTTCTCAGTGTGGGCCTGTTTGTTAGTCTACCAGCACTAATTTTATGTAACAGGAAATTGGATTCTCAAGCTATTTCAGTAGATGTGTTTTGTGGTAACCCTATTCCTGCTATAAAACCGTGAGACGTTTTCGAAGAGTTCGAGACTAGTGCAGAAACAGAATTAGCTTAGTTAAGACAGTCTGTGTGATCTGAAATAAATATAAAATGCACGAATGCTTTCAAAACTGGGATTTCAGTGCAGGGAATACGTGAGACTAAACTATACATCACTTTTGGGTCTTTTCAACTAAAAAGGATTTTTAATATTATGCTTGCTTATCCCTTTAAGAGTAATACATGTTAAAATGAGGTGGATAATTCCCCCTCCCTATGCTGCCATAAAACATCTCACTTTTAGCATTGGTAAGTTTATCCAAATGATCCTAAACAAGTAGAACATTCAGTGCTGTACGGAATGCTTAATAACCAGACTTTCATTACAACATAAGCCTGTTATATTTCAAAGTAGAGTGTGGGCAGAAACGTCTTAATTTACACACATCCATTGAGACTTAGTCTCCCTGCTTGTTTATTATGTGCCCGGTGTTACAAAATGTGTTCTTAGTTTCTTTTTTTTTAATTTCTTCACAGCGGTGGGCGCACCTGACTGAGCCTGTCTGGGGAGCTCATCACTTAGAATATATGGCTCCTGATCAGGATGTCAAGAGCTTGACCAGCTTAACACCTGTTTCGGACAACAAGGTCATCATTTTTGAGAGCGTCATGTGAAGTCATCATCCTCCTGCTTCAGCATTCTGTGACCATGTACCCCCGAAAATGTCAATTTCAACTCCTTGACCAGGCCAAAAACCCACTCTTCTGTTGCATATTTCTCCCGCAACTTCTGTAGTTCCCTCTTGGCAATAGTAGTAGTAGTGTATAGTGAAGGCTAAGCTCCAAATGTGGCTTTCATCAGCAATAGGAAAGTCTCAATTCAGAAATTCAATATTAGTCTTCGTATTTTATTAATCCCAACTACATCCGAAAAAAATGTCAACAACCGTTCTGTAGTCTGAGACAGCACTTGGCTACTTGGTGATATTCTATTTTACCCCAGTTTATTATTCCTCCACCAACGAATAGAGCACCATGTATTCAATTAACATACTGAATTAAGAGTCCTAATCCATCCCAATCCAGTGTTATTGATCATTTGTTTGGAGAAAATACCAAATCAAAGTAAAAACCATTCTACTGGTGTTATACGTTGAATTTAATGTGAAGATGGAGAGGTAGCATGCTCAACACGATTCTGATGATCCAGTCCATATAATGTATTCATGGAGTAATCTTGCCAGATGCCTACTATGTAGCAGTTAAGAAATAAAATAGGACTTTTATGAACATGAACAAAATATGATTCTCTGAATCCAGCCATCAACAAGTTTTGAATGAAGTAAGTTCCATCTGCTTGTAGGTTTCCAGTGGACCTTCGAAAAATGGAATTCTGGACATAAATATAATACTCTGGACATCAGGTAGGAGCAGTGAAGTCCTACTGCAATGGAAAAGATAATTGTCATCTTCAGCTATAAGAATGTCCAGTCTTTTATCAGAAGCAGGCACAAGGAAGAATTCCACCAATGTTTTAAGTAATACTTTAGCCACCTTAGAAGCTGCTGACAGCCTGGTCAGAGATGTATAGGAAGGAGGAACATGGCCAAAATGTGCAGACTAATTGATGAACAGAAGAGTTGCTGATAGAAATAAACCCCATGTCTTCGCATACTACACACATCCCAAAATATCCTTGAAAACATACAGTGGAAAAAAATGTACCCACAATGTTCTAATGGGCAGATCTTGCCAAAGTAAACACTAGTATTTGAAAGACTACTACAGCAAGCTAATGCCAACAGTCAATGAGATATCTGTTGCTCTGCGAATGAGAGCTCTGTGTAGGGTTTAACCCCTTTAACCCACATTGCCTCTGAAGTGACTTGCAGCAGAGCAGTGCTTTGCTGACCCCTTCTGGAATAAATGTATTAATGGGAGCATCCATATAACAGCGCTGTGTCTCCGAAGGAAATGTGTAAAGAAAAAAAAAAAAATGAATTTGCACTTTTTTATATCCTTACAGTATACATGTATACAGGTAGGCCCTGTCTGGCAACAAAACCCCAAACACCCTTGGATAGAAAACTTTGCACACAGATTAGACTGCTGATTTAACTAGTATCCATCCCTGTTGAGAAAGAGTCTCTGCTGCTAGCTGCTACAGATATTGCTGTGAAGGTTTGCCATTTTCGACAACAGGAAGCCATTTTGCTACAAAGAGTAGCCATTTTGCTGTGTGGAGAAGATATATCCTGCCTCTGTAAATAGTGAAACTGATGCATTAATCAATGCAAGTATTCGAGTACTTTGGAGAACAGCCATGCTTTCATCAAACTACAAGGGGTTGTTGACCAAGTTATCTTGTGAATTACTGTTTCCTAGTAAGGAAATTTAAAATATTTAAAAGATAACATTAGGCTCAAATGTTATTGCTAAACACATGGAGACAACCCAATGAAACTACCTTTCGCTACCTCTAAGATTCTAAATTCCACCCAAATGTAGGAAAGCTGGATTAACCACAAGGAAACTATTGTCTTGCCCATGCCTTAGATTAGAAAACAAAAACATATTGTAGCATGTTTGCTCACTGTAGCTTCCCAATACTCTAAACCAGTGGTCTCCAACCTAGTCCTTGTGACCCACCACCAGTCCAGGATTTATGTATTTCCCTGTTTTATTCCGATGGACATACACTGACAAAAACGGAACTGTTGGTGGTCCATGAGGAGTGGATTGCCACTGCTCTAAACCATGTGTATGTATCCTGCAATAGGGGGTCCTGAGTTGGTAGTGCGACAATATCTTATTCTGGTGTTCAATCTCATCCTGAACAAAGGTTTTGGCATCTACAACTCTATATGCCGTAGTCAACAATTTTATTTTTTGGAGAGGCATGCCTAAAAAGTTGTCATATTCTGCATATAGGCCCTGTATGACCACTTTTTGCAAGGCCTACAGATAAAATTAGTTCTTTATTTCTGGTTTTGAAGTGGTTTTCTACTCTGCATATGTTAGGATCTCCAATAGTTTGGTATTGACTGCGATAAACCCCTTTCTTCTTTCCTGTGGAATAAGAAAGGAATTTTCTGAAGACACAGAACTACCAAAGTTCCCAATTTAACCAGAGGTGGTTTGGAACATAATAAGTCGTGGTAGCCATTCAATGATAAAAACACACTTGTTTGTTAAAAGAGGATCTGTTCTATAGTTTATTCGGGGGGATTATCCAAGATTACCAGGTTTATGAATACTACCACCACCTTAAGCACATTTTACTAGGATTGCCTACAGAGTTTACTGTAAACGAATGTATTTTCCCATCCTAATATTTCCCATTGCAGAATGCTTTGCACACAATTTTCAAGATCAAATTTCTAATTTTGTTATAACTATTTTTTTGTGCCACAGATAAAGTTTATTTTTTATTTTTGTGGGAAGATGTACAGAGATAATATTTGTATTAAGTATCTAAAGTAGAAAAAAATAAAATATATTTTATGACTGTGTGCTAGAGGGCACCCTAGGGTGCTTGAATCACGCAGATATTCTGTATGTAGCACAGCTATCTTTATAAATGGTTTGTAACCCCCGTGTGTTGAGTATAGCAAGACGTACATTAACTGTGAAATATGGTTTGTCTAATGGAACTGGCTTATGTTGCACTATTTACTATACTGATCCTAAAAGAAAACCAGGGATAGGTAACCTCTGGCATTTCAGCTGTTTCTGTGGATGGTAACTATCAGGATCCTAACAAGACATCTTGATTTACTGACCATAGCAGGAGTCCATGTGGTGTGCCAGAGGTGGCTGATCCATGGATACAGATGTTGATTATTATTATTATTTTATTATTTATATTTAGCGCCAGCAAATTCCATAGCGCTGTACAATGGTGAACTTTTATCGAAAAAAAATATAGGGTGTTCTATCAATGGAACACAGTTTGTGTGACTTTACACACATTTTCAGAATTTGAAATAATTTAGAAATGATTAAGTAGATGTAGTAATGGGTGAATAGTTAAATAGTCAAAGTTCCTATATTATTCTAAAGAGTATTGGCCACAAGTTTGTGAACAAGACTCCGTAGCATACCCCTAAGTTAGCTTACTATACCACAGTTCCCGTATACTCGATCACCAAGATGAATTCTTAATGATCTTAGTGTTCAGTACAGCCAGTGTTGCGGTGGTCTTTACGACACTCCAGAATGCGTATGAAGTCCTAATTGGCTTACCCTTTATCTGGGGCAGTAGATTCTGAAATGTGTCTATAACAAACTGTTAGACTAATTGTCCAAAATACTGGTTATATTTTGACTTGACTTTAAGATCCCAGTTCTCTTGCATTGGTTAAGTTAATTACCCCATGGATAATCTCACAAACCATTTAAGGCCCGTCCAATTACATATTTTAATTGATAATCCTGTATACTTACAATAACCATCCATTTTTGTCACAAAACCACCAGATCTGCTTTATTCCTAATAAAGTGTATGATCCACAGCTCTTTATTTAAATGATATGGAAGCTTTCAGAGTCCATGATACATTTTTAATATGTCTATGCATTTCCAGTAACATTTTTCCAATATTAGGAAAAAGTGGAACAAGCCGTATCTATAGCATGTACCAGATATCTCACAGAATCTGGACAGCTTACGGATACACTGACAACATGCTTGAAAAAATTACAATATGCAAATAAACCTAGACGAAACAATAAGACGCTGGTCGGAGTACGTTTTGTTTCTCTTAGTAACGTAACGTGGAAAATGAAAGTGTTTCTGGAGAGACGATTTCCAGCTTGAACTGTGTGTTTTCCTACTTGCCTTAAAAAGGGAATCCGTTGCCAAAAACGTGTTCACAGCATATTGTATGTGAAGCACAACCCTGACCTTTAATTATCACACGGTACTGGTAGTAAGTAAATGTATTGATCAAGACAGAGTGGACTTTATTGGATCGACTCTGCTCTTTTTCTGACATCATCAAACACATGTATAATTCTCCTTCTTATTGAATAACTTGCACATAAGAATGCATATTTTTTTATCAAAGAGAAGAGTTTTATATATCGGCACTTTTTAAACCTAGTTTGTTTGTTTTCCCTGTGAAGAAGTGCTCTCTCTTCAAGATGATCCAGATTCGAGATGTTTACCAGGGCTGCCTATCCTTGCAGACTGTGCCAATATACTATACAGAGTGTGTAAAGTGTCATCATTCACAGAATTCCCATGGGGAATGTTAAACCTTCATATATATATATATTAAATAGGAGTGGACAAACTCCGTTGTACGTCCATATTTTCTTATTCTTTGTCCAACTAGTGTAATGATTGTCAAACACCAATGTCAATAAGTGAACTTTTTATGGTTTTATTGATTGGTTTTGTTGAACATTTTTTTAATGGATAACTTGAAAATCGGAGCTGAAACCCTCTCTATTTTCTTGTCACCAAATTCAAGCTCTGGGCTTGTTCCCAATGAATGGAAATATTAAGTGTTGATCCGGGGAATGGAACCTCATGCCATTCTGACACTACTTGTGTCTTATGCTGTTTCTTAGTCATCAAATCGTCTTATGCACCTTGTGGGGTTATTTTTATGTGTGTGTGTGTGAACTGTTTTGGGGGGGGGGGGGTTTTGGTTTGCCATTTCTTTTAATTTTCTTGTAAAATACATTTTTAAATGTTGCTGCCTTCCCTTCTAATTTACCTGCATTTAGCTGTTGAGTCGGAATATTGCACATCTGGGAACTTTTAACAAGAATTCACATAGAGACGGAAATTATCATCACTTCTGGTTCTTGTACCCAATACAATTTCAAGTGAATACCTAGTATCTCAAAGCCAGCTACAAGAGACACTGAATCCAGGATTCACCTGATTTGGGTCATTTATATAAGAGCCTGGGTTTTATGCAATTGTTACTCAATTTAAAGACATTATATGCAATCAAGGAGATTATGGACTGTATGAGACAGAATTTTCCTTTGCACCTATTGATGGAAGTAAAAACCCAGAGACTCAGTAAATATCGAAAGTTCCCAGGTTTGGAAATCTGCACCAGCGGATCAAGTTCGACCCAGCGATTTTCAGAAAATACTTGTTTGTTTCTTAGGCTAAGCCTTTTTTTATGCAGACTCATAGACTTCACACAGGAACCTCAAATAATGCCCATTTCAAGTGTTAATATTAAAACTCTGACCATTATTGGGTGCAGTGTGGCAGTTCGTGTGCATCCCCTTTTTAATGGAACTAATGGAATCCACAAATTTTTAATCTGTATATATTGTTTTTTTCTGTTCTGTATTATGGGGCTACGTGATCTTTGGTAGAATTATAAGGAGAAATTAGGATTGTCTTCTTTATTTTGGTTTTCCCATCAGAATCGGATTATTCCCAATGTATCAATCTATTTATTACTTTCTTCATCCAGTTTCCTTAGAGGATACCAGGGGTGCCCAAAATTTCGACCCCTAGATGTTGTAGAACTTCAGCTCCCATAATGTGTTGCCTTTAGAATGACAAAGCATCATGGTAGCTGTAGTTTTAAAACATCTGGGAATCTACCTTTTGGGCACCCCTGAAGGAGACCCATGTCACTATATTATCTACATGCTACTTAGTTTCCGAATGTTGTTCTTTAACTAAAGTAGGTTGATTAACTAAATCTGAAGTAGTGGAGAGCTGCTCAAGGGAATGCAAATTTTAGGCCAATATTGCCAAACTAGTAAAATTCTTTGTTAATCTTTAACTTTTTTTTTTACTTCGCTATTTTGAAATTTCTTTTCCAGTTCTTCACAATTCCATGTTTAGTGAATAAATCCCCAATCCTCACCACAAGGCAACTTTAAATTCTGATATAACTGACTGAATGTACTGAATTATAACCTTCCCCTATATATCTGTCTTACAGTATGTTTGAGGTCCCCAAATGTACTCAAAGGGAAAAACATAAAGATTTCTATAACCAGAGCTTTTCAGCTATCATTTGATCATTTAGGGCACAGGTAGCTTCAGGAGTCGACCGTTTTGAGGTTTAGCTCATAAATTAAAGGAAGAAGCACACTATCACTTTAAACAAGAACTGGCCATTTTATATTATAAAACTGATCGTTCCGATTTGGTCAGTTGAATTAAAGTTGTTTGGAAAGTCAGTGGTACTTTCAAATTTTTCCTGAAAATCTTAAATACCCCAGAAAATGATGTAGCCCTGGAGAGAAAATATTGTCTCCCTAGTTTAACGATCCTTTAACCCAAGATTGTGAGTAAATAATATTCAGTTCTGTCGGTTGCTCTTTAAATAGGGATAAAACATTTTCACTGGAAGTGATAGAAACAGCATGATGTGCTATTTTCTACTGTTTAAATATTTCAACATTTGCAGCCTAATAAAACTATGTAGAAGAAAAATAAAAGCTATCCCAAATCCCTTAAACTCAAAATCCAATCTGCAGCTTTGATTAATGTCCTTTTCAAAATTTTATTCCACTTTATGCTTTACCATATGGTTTCTGTTTAGATAAGGAAAATGAACATTAAATTTATGTTGGGCTATATTTTAACAGTTAGCAGGCTAGACGGTAATGTATAACTTTAGATTATGTTATACGCTCCCTTTGATGCTTAAAGCGGCACTGTCGGTTGTGGGGTCTTTGCATTTTGTCTCATCTTTTAACTGTGATGGGGATTTGGAATCTTTTGCTTACATTGGGAAAACTTCCAACATCCTCAAAAAAAGATTTTTATTTTTTAATCTACTACAACAGAAGTATTTTTTAGTATGCAGTATATTCGTTTTTAAATTTAAGATTTATAACTTCTTACCAGCTATACTGCACCTATTTCTCCAGCCGACTGGGGAAAACAATTTTCCCAACTCTCTGATGGGGCCATTCAGTAAACCCCTCTCTTGTCCCTTTGTTTAATAAATTTACTAGCTTATTCAGCCACAGTAAATTAGGCCAAAATTGACAAGGTATAAATATAGGTAAAAAAAACGTTTTGGAATCGAATGTATTCTAGCTCCGAGTTCCTGGCTCTAAACTTTGCAAAATCTGTCTCAAATTCACAGTTTAATAAATAAAGTATACATTTTTGTTCTATTTGAGTACCCCTTAAACACACAACTTCTGGAATAAAAAGAAGTCATGATGGAATATTTCCGTCCTTAAGGGGTTAAAGCTGTACACGTTCATTTTTTAACGTATTTTTACGTATAAAAAGAATCAAGCAACCCCATACAGTATGTTAGTTATGTTGAAAACATTTTTATATATATGTATATATATATATATATATTTTTGTGTTGTTTTTTTTTTTTGTTTGTAGGAATATCCCATTAGTCTTCCTATGCATTGTGAAAAGTTAGAATGACTGGTTTTGCAAGTTTTCATGTACTTCTAGGGATCTCGAGTTTATTACGTGAGGAATCGTGAATCCAAGATATTATTAAGTTCAGAGATACTGACTGAGATGACCTGAAAGAGGAAATCTTTTCGATAATTCTGTCCCTTTAATCACTGTTAAAATATCAGTTTACATTAAATTCCTAAAGTACCAGAATGGATTAAGGCTTCAAAATTCTTTGAGGATGTGCAGTAAATTACATTTTAAATTATGATATGAACAAACTTCTAGTGTTATCATTGTATGGACAACACAAATAGTGATTAAAAAAATAGGCTAAATTGCCAAGTATTAGAATTTACTGGAGAATTTTCGGTTATACGCATTTCTCGTCAGAGATGACATTTAAGAAGATGAGGTCTGTTTAATCAGCCGAGCTATGGATAAACAATACTCGTTTCCAGTTGTAACTAATGGACTGACGTGACTTTAAGATTTAACGAAATGTGCTTCATCTGCCTCCGAGGGGTCCTAGGAGACTTTTACCTGTGTGTTTATCATTGGCCTGGTTTATTAAATACTGCTAAGCCATGATGTCTATTCTTGCCCATTAAGTTATATAGGTTGAATGGTGCCTTAGACCTTGAGTGTTTGGTAAATGTCACTTTTTTTGCGATCAACACAAATAGTAATGTAGAAACCCTACCACCTGTATGAGAGCCAATTTCTATACTATCCTAGAGACTGCCGCACTGAACTGCATTAATGAGCTTTTAATGAGTCTTCCCATAGGAGCTTTATAAAAAACAAATTACTACATACCTCTGTAAAATAAAACAATGAGCTTCATGCTTTTGCACTGTGATCATCTGCTAGATTCACTAAACATGGCAATAATAACATTAAAAAAGATTTGATTTTTGGAAAAAAAAATGTTTGTTTTGTATTTTGTTTTTGTTGTGTACGGTTACTGAAATTGGTGTCTTGCACAACACGTGTCTGCTTTAGATAAGAGTTGAGAAAATTTTTTTTTAGCAGATAATATGCCAAAAAGGAGTTGCTATATTTATTTTTTTGGAAGAATTATAATTTACTCATTCTGGTAAGCACTGTTAATGTAAACGCGTTTCTCAAATAGCAAATATGCTATAAGTTTTGTTCCCGAGATTGCCTTTCTTTCTGAACATTATTTCAGATTTCAGAAACAGTCATTGTTAATTATATACATAGATGAATACATATGTTATATGCATACATACAAACATGTACAGAGTTATTTACTATTTAGCTATTTTCACCTAAATTTAAAACTTACTTTGAATTCTCACGTTACTAAATAACATCGATAATGTGTCACCGCGTTCCTTCACCCCCAGGTCTCCCACCAACCATGACAAATAACAGAGGGTGAAAGAACCCTCTAAACACCTGATTCCAGCTACGAGCTCCTCTTCCTCACACATATTAGTCCTATCCCATAGGAAAGCAAGCTGGACATCCTCATGCAAAGAGCGAAGACATCCAGCATCGTTTCATGGTGTCAAACTCTGTGAAACTCCAGGAAGCGCCTCTAGTGGCCATCTGTTGGATAGCCACTTGAGGAGGTCTTAACAATGGTTTCTCAGAAACTGCAATGTTTACATTGGAGTGTTAAGGGAACTGGGCCACTCCACACGGACCAGGTTTAATGAGATGAGGTGGTCTGTGTTACAAATAAATGCTACAGTGTTCCTCTACTTATAGGTGGCTGCCTGCCCTGATTTGAGGATTTAAACGGTGAGTTTCCTTTTTTTGCATCCCACTGTGCCAATCTTTGTACTAAAGCTCCGCCTGCTTGGCTGAGATCATCAATCTTCATGATCTCAGCCAATCCAATGCTTTTCCATAGGAATGAATTTGGAGGCTTGTTCGCATTTGTGGCAAAATGCCACACTGCACCAATCAAATTGTCTCATGAGACCATCTGATTGAAATATCCAAGGTTTACACAAAAACACGCCATTCTAATGAACGCAGCTCCACGCTATAGCTGTGATAAATCTTATTGCGCTTACCAAAACAATGGTATTATCTACACTTTAATGTTTAACCCCTTAAGGACATGTGACATGTGAATTTTACCTTTTATTCCAGAAGTTTGGTCGTTAAGGGGTTAAACCTTGGTCCTGGAGTTATAAAACATCATTCGAAAAAAATACAAAAAACTTAATCTAGGAAATCCCTACAGGAAATAAAAGTAGAGTGGGATTGGGTAATTTATAAATATATAAATACGGGTAACTGACATTCGAAGTGTAATCCATGCTATTACTAATTAACGTGTGCTGATGGAGTTACAATGTATCAGCTGTCAGATGTTCTGACTAATCTGTTGCTCTGTTACATTGTACAGCATATATTTTGGGCGATAACATTTAAACGAACACCATAGTGTTAGGAATACAAAAGGGTAAAAAAAAAAAATGAAAACCCATAAAGAATCTAAAAAAAAAAAAAAGTGTTATAAAATAACTTTTTTTCACCTACCTGATTCCAGTGCCAAGCTACCTCTCTGTGCCAGTGCCAGTGCCAAGCTACCTCTCTGCTTCCTCCAAAATGACATCGACAGTGTTATCTAATGTGCATGCATAGCAAGTGCCGCACAATCATTAGGCCTTCCTCATAGGAAAGCATTGACTCAATCAGAGGCATAACTAGATACCACCGGGTCCCTGTGCGAAAATTACCCCGGGGCCCCCCATGTGTCTCAATCCCCACCCCCCGCCTCTACGTCTTTTATTCACTTCCCCAGGAACTCCACATGTCTTATTCCCCCTTAACCCCTTCAAATGTCTTATTCCCCCCAGCCAGGGCCAGATTAAGAGCCCAGTGGGCCTGGTGCTGACAATTCTGACGGGCCTAATTACAGAATCATATCGACCAAAAACAGTAAAACACTCATAAGCATCATGTATCTGATGGAGATGGTGCTGGAGAGAAAGAAAACAGCAGCTATAAGAAAACACATACCCTAAGCTAATCTCCCTCTAATTTATGTTTTCAGCTTTCAAGTAAATCCATAACCCCTAACAGCAACGTCCAATCAAGCAGGAAGTCAATGGGCACGGTAAAAGGGTTTGCCACTGACACAAATCACGTAACCTGCCAAAACGGGCAAACATGCCCAAAAAGAGGACATTTCTGCTCAAAGAATTAGAAGGCCAGCCTGACATGAATGCATGTCAGGCTGCCTGCCAATCATGCAGCTGGCCAACTAAGGGCATACTATGCAGACAACACCCTGAGCTTGGCATAAATGCATCTAATGATGCGCTCACTCAACACTTTCTAAGGACTGTCCCCTAGCACTCGCTGGTCCACTTGTCTCCTTACCTTCTTACCTTCTTACTAGCAGGCAGAAGATCCTGGTATATGGTCTGGGACAGAGTAAAGCTATATGTAGTGAATGTAGAAGAAAGGGAACATGCCACAGTGTTAGAGAGACCAAAGTCAGCATTACCTTAAAGGATCACTATAGGGTCAGGAACATGAATTCATGACCCTATAGTATTAACACCACCATCTAGCCCCCCTGGACCCCTCATGCCTCCATAAATATAGCAAAATCTATAATCAAGCCTGAAGCTGTAACTCGGCATGCTGTTAGACTCATAAAAACAAGCAGTCTGCTGACATCATTAGAAGTGGTGGCCTGATCCAATCACAGTGCTTCCCCATAGGATTGGCTGAGACTGACAAAGAGGCAGATCAGGGTCAGAGCCAGTATGATTCAAACACAGCCCTGGCCAATCAGCATCTCCTTATATAGATGAATTTCATTAATGAATCTCTATGAGGAAAGTTCAGTGTCTGCATGCAGAGGGAGGAGACACTGAATGTTTGGATGCATTTTAGGCAGCCATGACCCAGGAAGGATCTCTAACAGTCATCTAAGGAGTGGCCAGTGAAGTTATCACTAGGATGTAATGTAAAGACTGCATTTTCTCTGAAAAGACAGTGTTTACAGCAAAAAGCTTGACGGTAATGATTCTACTCACCAGAACAAATTCAATAAGCTGTAGTTGTTCTGGTGACTATAGTGTCCCTTTAACTATATTCATTGTCAGCCAGTCCACACAAGTTTTGTTCCCATACATCCCACTTAAGTTTCCATATTTAAGTAAGAGTATGTGAAAAGTAGTTAGAGTTGCCACCTTTCTTGGAAAAACATACCGGCCTTACTAATTTGCATAATTAAATATGTATGGGTGACATCACATGATGTAAATCACAAGGAGTGATATAAGAGAAAATGCTGTAAAATCACCAAAAAACTACTTAGTTTGATTCTGCTGTATAGATGGATTCCTCCCAGTGCCCCCATGTCTCCCAGTGCCCTCATGACTCAGTGCCCCCATGTGTCGATTACTCCAGGTCTCAGTGTTCCTATGTATCAGTGTCTCAGTGACCCATGTCTCCCAGTGTCCCTTAGTGTCTGCCATACTATCTCCCAGTGTCCCTTAGTGTCTCAGTGTCTGCCATAATGTCTCCCAGTGTCCCTTAGTGTCTGCCATAACGTCTCCCAGTGTCCCTTTTTGTCTGCCATAATGTCTCCCAGTGTCCCTTAGTGTCTCAGTGTCTGCCATGTCTCCCAGTGTCCCTTAGTGTCTGCCATAACGTCTCCCAGTGTCCCTTATTGTCTGCCATAACGCCTCCCAGTGTCCCTTAGTGTCTCAGTGTCTGCCATATTGTCTCCCAGTGTCCCTTAGTATCTCAATGTCTGCCATAATGTCTCCCAGTGTCCCTTAGTATCTCAATGTCTGCCATAATGTCTCCCAGTGTCCCTTAGTGTCTCAGTGTATGTCTCCTTGCAGCCTTTCCCCCCATCCCTTACTTCCCTGAGCTGTAGGCTGTCTCTGCGGGGTGGGAGTTGCTGTCTGGACTCGCTGTAGCTGCACCCCTGCAGAGCAGTGAGTATAGATAGGCCGGGACGCATATGCTGGAACTTCCTATCCCTGCCTGTCTCCACACACAGCGACCCCTACTGGCCAGTGCTGGTATTGCAGAGTAATCTCTTGTTTATACTGATAAAAATACCAGCATTTGTATTGCCAGTATAACTGCAATATTGGCACTGCCAGGCAGCCCCAAATACTGGCTGTGCCAATAAAATAAAAGCCAGGTGGAATCCCTAAGAGTAGTGTGAAAAAAAAATGTAAAAATTTTTTTTATTTTTTTAAATTTTTTTTTACATCAATGGGCCTATTCCATGGGCCTGGGCCTGGAGCTGCAGCTCCATCAGCCCCTATGTTAATCCGGCCCTGCCCCCAGCCCCTCCACGTGTTTCATTCTCCTCCCTTTATCCCCTCCACGTGTCTAATTCTCCCACCCAGTCCCCTCCACCTGTCTCAACTCCCTAGCCCCTCTACTTCTCTTACCCCCTCACCTGTTTCAACCTCTCCGTATTTTTATCCGAGCTCCCCTCCCCTGTCCCTTCATGTTTCTCTCCCCCTGTCCACCTCATCCCATCCATGATTCTCTCCCCATCCCTTCCCTATTCCCTTCATGATTATCTCCTCCTTCCCTCCTCTATTCCCATTATTTTCCCCCCTCTAGTGCTCAACCCCCATGATTCTATCCACCTCCCCTCCTCTGTCCCTCCATTATTATCTCCCCCTCCACTGTCCCTCCATGAGCTCCCTCTCCCCTCCTCTGTCCCTTAATGATTATCTCCCCCTCCCCTCCTTACCTGCTCATCGTGCACAGTACCCGGTCTGACAGGAAGTGCTCTCTCAGTGAGCACTTCCTTTCAGACCGCTCTCCGCTCAGCCACGCTACACACAGTGACCGGCTGGAGGGGAGCACTGTGCTGTGTGTTCCTCTCCTGCCTGTCACCTGTCGACCGCGGGCCTCGGGCTGGCATGGCTGTGCACCAGCCCTAAAGTGATATCAATGGCCCATGATCGCAGGGGTTGACAGAGTGACCGAGCCCCCTGGAGTGTCGGCCCGGTCGCATTTGCGACCCCTGCGACCGTGGTAGTTCCGCCACTGGACTCAATGCTTTCCTACGGGTATTTTCAAGACTCTGCATGTCCTCATACAAAGTGTGAGGATATGCAGAGTTATTTCATGGAATTGAAGAAGTTCCTCTAGTGGCTGTCTGGTAGAGGCACTCTTAATCCTGCAATGTAAAAATTGCAATTATTTGGGTTAAGGGGACAAGAACACTGTACCCAGACAACGTCAATGAGATGAAGTGGTCTGGGTGCCTATAGTGTCCCTTTAATTTTGCCAAGCATGAAAATGTAAGAGGAAAATATATATCACGTACGGCCTGGTCAGTTGACGGGTGTGCAGGTTTCTGAATGGTCTCTTACTTGGGCACTAAAAATTGTTTAGACATGCTTAGTCTGTTGTATCAACATTTCTAATATCACCTATTGGCTTTGCAATGGGCCATCAGATCCGGAATACTTTGAGACAGGCCTGTGTGTTGTACTATCTTCTAGCGCTGCCATTGGCTGACATCATGAGGGTGGGGGGGAGTCAGATCTCCTGAACGTAATAGTTATTTCCCAAATACGGTTATCCGTAGGTTTATGGGACATAACCTCTTATAAGGTTGGGAGTTGAACACGTGGGGAGAGTCAAACTTTGGGAATAGAGTCAAGCACCCCTCCATTGTTAAACTTCACCAGCAACCATAATTTTCATTAAAAAAAAATATTAGTGGACTTTGTATTGACACATGCTGTCTGCACATTGAAATATCTAACTACTTGACAGCAGCATTAAATAGTCATTCGTCTTTCACAATCGCTCTCAAGTCTTCTAAACCCAAGGACTTAGGTCTGCTAGAACAAAAGAAGTTATCAAGGTCCTCTTGATTTAACCCCTTAAGAACACATGACATGTGTGACATGTCATGATTCCCTTTTATTCCAGAAGTTTGGTCCTTAAGGGGTTAAAGTAACATTTCAAATCCGAGACATACCTGTAACAAATCAATTATGTAACTTGTAATGAGGATGTAATTATTCTATATGCCCTAAAGCTCTGCTTTAATGGACTAAAAAACAGGCCTGTTCCAGGCTATGGAATGTAATCATATGCTGATACATGGACCACCCAAGAGTTCCCACGTACAGGTACAGGTATGTGCTATAACCACAGCCACATGATCGTCACTGCTGGTCCAATCTGACAGCCATTAAATTTGAGGATAAAGAGACAGACATACCACAAATATGTTAATGAATATAGTCACACTGTTTTGCATGCCTGTCTATCTGCTGGGAGACTGATATGGTTACAAACCTTCCAACATTTCAAATGGATAAAGAAAGACATTTTCATTTTTGGGTTCTGGGAAAGGGTGGGTGTTCTGAGAAAGTTAGGTGACTTACTAGTAATTTATACAGCTAAAATGTTATTTAGAACAAGTAAAATGTATCTTATTTACACAGACTGATTTCTAAATACATTTATCCAATTTGATTATCTCTGGTTTTGCTGATACAGATCTATGAAGACATTGAAAGATGTGGCTCTCTGATACGGCCCAATTTTTCCGTTTTTTCTAATAAAGGGAGCAGAAATATACCTGTATTCAGTATGTACGGATCACTGGAGTTTACATGTGCAGGCAGCTATAGTTATCTTGTGCACGTGATTTAGTAGATCATGTTAGCGATATCGTGCCCACACATGAGTTAAATTGTGTTAAGGCATTAACAATCTTGTGGGTCCAATCTACTAAAATGTGTGCACAAGATAGTGTTGCGTGGCCACGATTTAAAAAATAAATGAACATGTCACCTTGGGGCTATGTAAGTATGAGAGCATGCAGAAGATTAATGGAGAACTGAGAGGTGTTTTCAACCGGTAAATGCATAGAGTTAATTCTCCAATCACAGCAAGGTGTCCACCATGGAAAGCCATAAAAGCAGTGGAGACTGGTCCATTAGGTCAGATGGGCAACCCCCTACGCCCTCGAACAAAAAAATAGTTGCAAACAAAAATAATATAAAATTTTGGTATTGTGAGGACTGCTGATAAGTGTGTGTTGGAAAAAAATCATGTGTCTGTCCTGATTATATCTGCAGTTTCCATTTTCTCCATTATAGATGATTGGAGATATAGCTTGTTTATAACAGGGCATGGCATCTTACGGAGTTTAGTAGGTAGAGCTCAACTAGTCGGGAGGGGGCAAATCTCCACCATCTTTAAACTTCATCGGCCACCAGGGCAGAAAAAGGCTGTCAAATAGAAGAATGAGTGCTTTCACAAAAATAAGCATTCTCTCAGTATGCTTGTGCAGTGATGCCTGGAATAATTTTTGTTTACTCTAAGGCACCCATACAGATTTGTATTTTTTCACCCATGATTTAATCAAACCAAGGGACCTAAACACCTGGCAGCACTTTGAAACATCTACTGCATCACGTAGATTTATAAGCAGTTATATGAGAAACCTGGTCAACCAACAGTAGATTGGTAAATGAGAACTGAAGCAAATATTTATATTTTGGGAATATCATATAGGCTATCTTTATCACCGGAGGTTGCAAGCTATTTAATACGCATGTTTCGGAGAATCTGACAAGGACAGTTTGCTATGGCGAGATCTGGTACAATATCAAGAACCAGACATTTAATTCTGCCAGCTCACATAGTCAGCGTTGTATGCCAGTATCCTAAACAAAGTTATCTGTCAGAATATCAGTATTGTACTGGCCCATGTGGTTAAGATCAATCTGATGCCCTAAGGCTATAAATTCAGACTTTAAGGACACAACTGAGTTAAAACCTATCTGAGACCTGAGAAAGGTCAAAATAAATGGTAAACTACTGAGTTTTTATCCATTTTTACTTTTGTTACTT